TGCAGGTTGGTCACAGGTCTGCTCACCCTGCGGGCACGGGTGGCGGTTCCGCTCCGCCCCCCACTCCAATTGGTGTCACGTGACCACCACACCGGCGGGGCCTGATCCGGACGCGGGCGAAGGCTCTGCTCTGCCCCTACTCCAGTTGGGGTGACGTGTGTACCACGCTGGCAGGCCGCTGGGCCTGACCCGCCAGTCTGTCGCAGGTCTGCTTACCTTGCAGGCTCGGGCGGCGGCTCTGCCCTGCCCCTCCTACGACGCCCGTGTACCACTGGGTCACGGGTCTGCCCACCTTGCGGGCTCGGGTGGCGGCTTCGCTCCGCCCCGTCTCCAATTGGGGTCACGCGATCACCACGCCGGCTAGCCGCTGGGCCTGCTCCGGGCGCGGGCGGCGGCCCGGCTCCTCCCCTCTGGCTCGAGGACAAATCGAGAGAGACTCGGGTGTCTGTGCCTCACCCTCCCTACCAGGAGACCAACTGTTTCTGTCGCCGCTGGTATTGATGAAGTTGTCTCTCCTCCGCCGCTTTCTGAATGTTTTTTATTTAAAAAAATTTTTTATTCTTTTTAGTTACACATGACAGTAGAATGTATTTTGATATGTCATACATAAATGGAGTATAACTTTCCATTCTTATGGTTGTACATGATGTGGAGTTAACTGGTCATGTATGAACATAGGAACCTACTATCTTTCCCATTCCCATCCCCACCCCTCCCCCAGCCCATTTCAGTGAACTTCCACTCTCCCACCCCCACCATGCCTATTGTGAATCAGCATCTACATATCAGAGAGAACATTTGGCCTTTGTTTTTTTGGGATTGGTTTATTTCACTTAGCATGATAGTCTCCAGTTGTATCCATTTACTGGCAAATGCCATAATTTCATTCTTCTTTATGGCTGAGTAATATTGCATTGAAATACAAGGCTTTTTGTATGCTGGGCAAGTGCTCTATCAGTAAACTACATCCACAACCAACCCCTTTAAACTCATACTGAGATTATTAATGATGATAATATTTTTAGTGACACAGTGGGATTAAAAATGATCATTATAGTTTATAATCTGATTTTGTACTTCTTGATAATGCAACTTAACTGCTTGGCTCTAAATTCAGATAATTTTGGTGCTCAGTTTATTGGCTATCTTAAATAAAATCACTATATTAAAAAGATATCAGGGCAGAGGGTGTAAATTCAGTAGAGTGCTTGCCTAGCCATGTGCAAGGCCCTGATCCTAGTACTGGTGGGGGGGCAAGATATAGGGAATACTCTCCATTTGCATTATTGAGTTCAGAATCATAGTATTTTTAAATTCTATTCATCAGATATGCATTGTTCTTTTAAATGGCTAGCAAAATTCCATCTTTATTATATTAGTTGCTCTGCATTTTTTATTTTTTAAAAGTATAATTAACATAATCCCATAGATTAAACATTTTCAAGTTACAAATGTTTATTTTACCTTATAATGGTAATATAAAATAGTGTTTAAGTATATATGCAAAGAATGCTTATAACTATTCTCATTATTGGAGAGTACTTGTGATTAATGCATTTGATTTGGAGAACTTTTTACATAGAGGGCCACAGGAGGAGCTCATGTCTTTAATTCTTTTTGTGACTGTGTTGGATTATATCCTGAGGCTATTTTCTGATGCTAGACTTTGGGAAGAACAGCTTCAGTTTTTTTTTTTTTTTTCTTATGAGTATATGTTTGCCCTTTATAGTTATGTAATTTTGGGGTTGCTCCTGTGTTGGTTTTTTTTTTTTTTTTGAGTTTAAGGCCAGAGATTACTTAGAATATGTTGAAGACATTTGAGAAAGAAATTTAATACTATTTAAGATGGTCTTAGATATTAAAAGGAATTTGAACTAAGTATAGTTGTTATTATTCACAGAGGCTTTATCAAGTGATGCATATGTAACCTTGTTTTATGTTTTTTTATGTTTAAAGATACCTTATTTAATGATTTAATGTGTATGGTTGATTTGTTAACAACATTGAATTGGCCAACAGTATCATCATACCAGAATAAAACTTTTTTTTTTTTTTTTTTAGTAGCACAGTTTTTATTCTGTAAGATTCATCACAGGGCTGGGGATGTGGCTCAAGTGGTAGCACGCTCGCCTACAATGAGTGAGTGAGTCACTGGGTTCGATTCTCAGCACCATATAAAAATAAAGATATTATGTCTACTTAAAACTAAAAATTAAATATTTTTAAAAAAAGATTCATCACAGTGTTAACAACTAGACAGTACTTCTGCACTATATTTTGAGCGGGCATATAAAACAGTGAAATTACAAAGAAAAAAGCGCAAATGTGAAAAAGAAGACACTGAATAGACTGAAAAGGATATTTATTTACAGTATGAGAGCTGAAATCAGTATATCACCTTGTTTGAACTGAGTTGGGAACATGCATATTGGGCAACTCAAATTTTTGCTAAATAATGCATGTCCATAAATGATCATGAAAACATTAGAAACTTTAATTTGAGACTACACATTTATTGAATAATCAAATTTGTAAATATGAATCCTTGAACAATGATAAAACTTTTTAAAACTGACACTTATCTCAGGGGTTAGTATAGATTGAGTAGCTCTTATTTGAAGTGCTTGAAACCAGAAGTGCTTCAGATTTTGGATTTTTTTGGGATTTGGAACATTCTCATATTCATGAGATATCTTGACGATGATACCCATGTGTAAACAAAATTTGCACTTTCCCAATACTACCAAAAATTCCCCACTAACCTGATTTGTATTTCATGTACATTGCCTGAAGGTGATTTTATACAATATTTTAAAATAATTTTATATGTGAAATAAAGTTTTATGGTGTGTAATTTTCTGCTTATGACATCATATTGGTGCTCAAAATTTCAGATTTTGGATTTTAGGAATAGTGATGTTTAACCTTTGTGTTGAGGATTATTGATTCTTTTTTTGTGTGTGCTGGAGATCAAACCCAGGATCTTGTGCTTTCTAGGCAAGCGTACTATCAATGAGCCATGTATCTTCTGTCCTATACTTTCTTGATTTGAATTGAAATGAGAAGTAAGTCAGTGACCAGTTGGTTGGCTGTTCTTTTATGTATTAGTGAGTTTCAAAATATACTATTTTAGCTGTTAGTTTTAACCTCAAGTTTACTTATTTTTTTTTAAATTTTAACTAAAATTAAAGGTCAATGGACCTTTATTTTGCTTATTTATATGCTGTGTTGAGAATTGAACCCAGTGCCTCACACATGCTAGGCAAGCACTCTACCACTGCGCTACAATTCCAGTCCCCAAGTTTACATATTAATGCTCTTTTATAAAGGAATAGTTTCTTTGAAGTTGTCCAATAACCAGAAGTTGCTATCTATAAATTCTGAAGGACATACATAGTAGAAAGGTATTATGTACTTTAGGAAGAGGTTCTTTATCTTTTGTGTTGCATTAGAGATATATTGAGTTAGTTTGTGATTAAAATATAATCACCTAAACCATAAATTTACATTATTTGAGCATATATTTGTAAATAGTGTCATTTACTCAGTTTTGTCAAATTTAAATTTAGGACATATGGATTGTTCTCTCAAATAACTTTATTTTGACTTAAATAACAGATGATTAGTGCTCAAATTGACAGTAACATTTTTTTTCTCATGATGAAATATATAAATTTATGAGTGCCAAGTATATATTATGTGTGAATAATTTTAAAAAACTTAAGGTAAGTACCTTAATGTTGAAAGGGTCAACTTTGGTTGATGGAGTTTAATTTTCCCTTTTTCAGGGCTTATTTATACTTGGTTTGTTGTTTTGGTTACCAGGAATGCTTAACCACTGAGCAACATTCCCAATTCTTTTTATTTTGAGACAAGGTCTTGCAAAGTTGCTGAGGCTGGCTTTGAACTTGTGATTCTCTTGTCTTAGCCTCCTGAACCTCTGGGATTAACAGTGTGTGCCACTATACCTGGCCTTATTTGTATTTTCTAATTGGTTCACCATAAGTTACTTTAATTATTTAAATAAAAGAGCAAAGTTAAATTTTTACAAATTATGTAAATTTATTTTAATAAGTACTCATTTGGCATATAACTGGAAAGTTTAAATAACCAAAATGTAAAAATATGAGTTATTTTAGTTAATATTTAAAATTTACTAAAGTTGCTTTATAACCATTGGAATACTTGACATATATGAATAGAAGAGGTAATGTTTTTGGAAGTCATTATGGCACAAAAACTTTATTTCTAGCTGGACACATTGGTGCATGCCTGTGATCCTAGTGGTTTGGGAGGCTGAAACAAGAGGATCACAAGTTTGAATCCAGCTTCAGCAAAAAATTTAGTGAGGCCCTAAACAACTTAGGGAGACCCTGTCTCAAAATGTAAATTAAAAAGGGCTGGGAATGTAGCTTAGTGATAATGTGGCCTTGGGTTCAAACCCCAGTTACTGCCCCTCCCCCCACCAAAAGGAAAAGAAACCTTTCTTTCTTTCTTTTTTGGGTACTGGGGATTGAACTGAGGAAGGGCACTTGACTACTGAGCCAGATCACCAGCCCTATTTTACATTTTATTTAGAGACAGGGTCTCATTGAGTTGCTTATTAGTACTTTACTGTTGCTGAGGTTGGCTTTGGAAGGCAGCTATGCTCACCACTATACCACCAACGCTGAGGTTGGCTTTGAATTCAAGATTCCCCTGTCTCAGGCTCCTGAGCTCCTGGGATTACAGGCGTGCTCCTCTGTGTCTGGCATCTTTCTTTCTTTGTTTTTTTTTTTTTTTTTTTTGGTTTGTTTTGTTTTCTTTAATTGTTGTTTTGTTTTTTGTTGTGCTATTGATTCAAACCCAGGGCCTTGCTCATGCAAAGGAAGCACTCTACCACTTTAGTTACACCCTAGCTCCCAAATTTTGTTTCTCAAAGTTTTATACATACATGTGAAAAGAAAGAGTTGCAGAATTGCTAATTGCAGTTAAAATTCACATTTGCTTTATTTTTGTAGGTACGAACTATGGCTCGAGATTTATATGACGACCACTTTAAAGCTGTTGAAAGCATGCCTCGTGGAGTAGTGGTAACACTCAGAAACATAGCAACTCAATTAGAATCATCTTGGGAGCTTCATACGAATAGACAAGTATGTCATCCTCTTGATTTTTATTATACACAGTGAATTTTATCTTAATTTTTTTCCTGCCACTATCCTTCATGTTGGGTGTTGAGTAAGGGTCAATAAATTATGATCCTCTAGCTAAACCTGGCCTGCCACCTGATTTTTCTTTATGGTTTTGTGAATTAAGAATGGTTTTTCTGGGGCTGGGGTTGTGGCTCAGTGTCAGAGCACTTGTGTAACGTGTGAGACACTGGTTTGATCCTCAGCCCTACATAAAAATAAACAAAGGCATTCAATCTATCTACAACTACAAAAAATTAAAAAAAAAAAAAAAGAAGAATGGTTGTTCTATTTTTAAATTATTGAAGAATCAAAAGAAGAAAAATATTTCATGACACATGGAAACCAGTCATTGTCCACAAAGTTTATTGACATAGCAATGTTCATTTGTTTTCATGTTTTCTGTGAATGCTTGGGTCTTACAATGGCATGTTCAATAATTTATTTACAGTGGGCCCTTTATTAAAAAGGCTACATTGACCTGTGATAGTCATAATTTGCTTTAATAATTGAACTTTTAATCTTATTTAATATCTAATTTATTTTCATGATAATTGGTGTTCTGATGAATTATTATTATCATTTTTTATGTGTAGGGTGGTTGGTGTTGAGGATGAACCCAGGGTTTTTAATATGCTAAGCAAGGGCTCTACCACTGAGCTATATCCCTGAACTATGATAAATTATTTTTTTAAAAAAATTTTGGGGGAGATGTTCACCAAATTTTGTTTTTCTTTTAGTGTATTGAAGGTGAGAACACTTGGCGAGATTTAATGAAGACAGCTTTAGAAAACCTAATTGTACTCTTGAAGGATGAAAACACAATTTCACCATATGAAATGTGTAGCAGTGGTTTAGTACAAGCACTTCTTACTGTTTTAAACAATGTAAGTTTATTTAGTGAACCAAAGTATAAAATATAGTATAGTTTTTATAGTCTAAAAATTTTTGTAACTATACTTCTGGTAGAGTGATTTTATGTTGTTTTTCTATTAGATTTAAAAACTGAGTAAATATTTATAATTTCTTCAATATTTCTAATTTCTTCAAGTGTATTATCACTTTAAGCCAATTGCATCAAATTATTGAGTCAATTTTGATTTCTAAGTTCTCCAGTTTGTTCAGGATTTTTTGAATGAACCATTGAGTCTAAGATTTAACATTAATCACTATTTTGATTGCCTCACAAATTATGTAAAATAAAATAAGGTTTAGGTATGAACAATGAAAGTTTAGGAAGTTTATGTGAATATTTGATAAGTATTTATTAATAACCTTACATAACTACATAGTTTACCTTGAACATTTCTTTGTTGTGGTAATTTTTCCACTTTATTTTAATGAAAGAAAAGATTTCCTATTTCATTTCTACTGGCCATTTTAATTTCTTGTGTTATATGTATGTGATAATACACTTTAAACAATTTCATTGTTACTTCAGTGAGTCTTATAGTCCCTTCATAAATTTTTCTGTTTGCTCTGTGTTTCAATTTATTGAACTTACAGTGATTATACAGTGTTACATCATTTAGTAATATCTACGAAATGGTTTTGAAGTACCAGTTTTCTTCTAACACTCATTAAATAATACTGTAAAAATGGAAAATTTTGATTCATGTAAAATTTGATAATACTTTGCATACTTTGGGAAACATTGATTTAGTAGTGAAATTGTTGACTACCTTATAACATTGAAAAAAAAAATCTATTATCCATGGCTGCTAGCTATACAGTGGAAAGAATTTTTTTTGAAAGATTAAATGATTAATGATTTCATTCAAATTGTATTGAGAATTTTTAATATAGTAATATTCATGTTTCCATGAGTTTTTGATAAATTTTAGTAAGTTTTTTTGTTGTTGTTCTTTGTCCTTTGTTTTTCTTTAGAGCATGGATTTGGATATGAAACAAGATTGTAGTCAACTGGTAGAAAGAATAAATGTTTTCAAAACAGCCTTTAGTGAAAATGAAGATGACGAGAGGTAAAATCCATGAGCTGGGGGTTTAACTCAATGATCTAGATAATGTGCAAGAAAGCTTATTTAGGGGCTGGAAACGTAGCTCAGTAGTGGGAGTTGAAATTTGATCTCTGGCTATTTATTTGATGTTACTAGATGATAATTTTTTTAAGGTATGGTAATAATATTTTTTAAGTATTTTTTTTGTAGGGATACATACTCGAAAATATTCAGGTGAAATGATATGATCTCGGTCATTTCTTCAAAATATATGGGTAGGAGAGAACTGGTTGCGGTGTAGATAGGCAGCAGTTGAGGATTTAGTTCAGTGGCTTGTCTCATACTGGCCAGATGTTGGGTTTGGTCCTTTGCCCTGGTGGAGAGAAACAGATTTGCTATTAGTAGCACGTTGCTGAAGCTGGATTATGAGTTGATGAGGGTACATTATTACTATTTTGTGTGCTTTTGAATGTGATTGAATTTATTAAGTGAAATTCAGCTAGTTTAAAATTGACTTAAAAATATATTTTTGATCAGTACATATTATAACTTCATGGATGATAATTTATTGAAATACTGTTATTTAAACTATTGCAAATATTAAAACATGCTAATCTTTTAAGTATAACTTTCTTTTACAACTTCATTGTTTTTTATTTATTTTTTATTATCTTTTTGGTGGGGAGAGGTACCAGGGATTGAACTCAGGGGCACTTGACCACTGAGCCACATCCCCAGCCCTATTTTGTATTTTATTTAGAGACAGGGTCTCACTGAGTTGCCTAGTGCCTCGCTTTTGCTGAGGTTGGCTTTGAACTTGCGATCCTCCTGTCTCAGCCTCCTGAGTCACTGGGATTACAGGTATGCGCCACTGTACCCAGCAATATACTAGTCTTGATTAAAGCATCTTTTCACATAAATTGCTTAAGTGGTATTATTGTATTAAATCTTATGGGTGGTTTTAAAAGTTTCTTGATCCAAATTTTCCAATTATTTTCCAGAAATGTTATGCCAAATTATACCTTGATAAAGTGTATGTTATGATACCCTTAACACCAAATATTTTCATTTTTAAAACTTCTTGGTGGGCACTGTGGTGCATGCCTATAATACCAGCAACTCTAGTGGCTGAGGCAGGAGGATTGTAAAATCAAAAACAGCCTTAGTAATTTAGGATGGCCCTAAGCAACTTAGTGAGACTCTTGTTTCAAAATAAAAAGGGACTGGGATGTGGCTCAGTTGTCAAGCATCCCTGATTTCAATTACCAATACCAAAAACAAGGTAAAAGAAAAAATTTGCCAGGCATGGTGGTAAATGCCTGTAATCCCAGCAGCTCAAGAGACTGAGTCAGGAGGATCACAAGTTTAAAGGCCGCCTCAGCAATTTAGTGAGACTCTGTCTCAAAATGAAATATAAAAAAGGGATGGAGATGTGGCTCAGTGATTAAGTACCTCTGGATTCATTCTCTGGTACCAAAAAAAGAAAACAAATTCTTTTGCTGGGTGTGTTGGCACATCCTGTAACCTCAGCTATTTGGAAGGCTAAGGCAGAAGGATTGAAAGTTTGAGGTCAGACTCAGAAATTTAATGAGACTGTCTCAAAATAAAAAATAAAAGGGCTAGAGATGTAGCTCTGTGGTAAAGCACCCTGGGTTCAATCCCCAGTACTGTCAAAAAAGAAAAAGAAAGAAAACAAAAATGAAGAAACATAAAACTTTGTTGTTGTTTTATAGAAATTATACTTCTTTTTGTACCCATGAAGAAAGCAGAGGACCTACTATTATAGATTATTGTAGTTTCTGCATGAACATTTTCATGCCTTTACATCAAAGCTCTTAACAATTATTTTTCTCTTCATAGTCGACCAGCAGTTGCATTAATTCGAAAGTTAATAGCTGTATTAGAATCAATTGAACGTCTACCTCTCCATTTGTATGACACACCAGGATCCACATATAACCTCCAGGTAACCACGAAAATGTTGTTGCTAATATAGATGAATGTATTTGGGAGAGCAATATGCTTTCTTTTTTTAGAAAAACTTCCATATTGTGTAAAGTAAGAACAATTCTGCTTCATCTTTAAGGTTTTAATTCAAATGCCATTTGATTATTCTTTTTAATGACTCAATATACTGGCATTTTAAATTTGATTGAATTAATGTGGAATTTAATATTGTAAGTAATATACTTGATTGATCAGTTGTAAGTAGGGATAGGTAGTTTATCAGTGGAAAAAGCAGATTTAAAAAGTTCTTATTCTAGAATTATGTGTTGCATCCTGTTTTATTCCATTTGAGCTGGTATAACAAAAATACCTTAGAGTAGTAATTTACAAACAACAGAAACTTAATGCTGACAATTCTGGGTGCTGGTAAGTCCTAGAGTAAGGCACTATCATATTTGGTATCTGGTGAAGACCTAGGTAAGTCTTCATGTGCAAAAAGGGATGAACAAGTTTCCTTGCCCTTCTTTTATTTTATTTATTCATTTATTTTTGTGGTAGTAGGGATTGAGTCCAGGGGCACACTACTATTAAGCTATAACCCAGCACTTTTATTTATTTAGGATCTCATTGAGTTGCCCAGGCTGGTGTAGAATTTGTGATCCTCCTTCCTCAACCTTTACCAGTCTCTGGGGTCACAGATATGTGCCACTAATTTTGTCTTACTTTTTATTTTAATTTGCCATGTTGGGGATTAAACCTCAGGATGCTTTTACCACTGATCTGCACCCCACCCAGCCCTGTTTATTTTAAGACATGGTCTTATTAAATTGCTGAGGTTGGCCATGAACTTTTTATCCTCCTACCTCAGCCTCCCTAGTTACTGGGAGTACAGACATAATGCTAACACAACTGGCTGGGGCCTCTTTTTATTAAGGGTGTTAATCTCATTTCTTAGAGCTCTACCCTCATGACTTAATCACCTTCCAAAGGACCCACCTCCTAATACTACTACATTGGGTATTAAGTGTAACTGTTAATAAGTGACTAAGGATTTATATATGTCAAAGCAGTGCCTACTCAAAGCAAACAAAACTTGCCTATACTAGACTCCAATACTAAAAGGCTTATCCAGCAAATTATACTATACTTGTTGTACCTGACTATAGTGTTTAAAAAGACATAGAGGGCTACTTTGTGTTTTGTTTAGACAGAGTAATAGGAACAAGGAGACTGTTTGATCCATCCTTCTTAGACTTGGTAAGTGAATGAGCTGATGAATAGTCCCAGAGACTGGAAATTTAACCCATTATATAGTCATATGAACATGAACATCTTGTATTACATACTTTTCATTTTAGGAGATTTGATCCAAAGGCAGGAAGGCCAGGAATGTGCCCTCTGGTAATTTTGCAGTCTGAAATACTATTAAAATGCACATGTAAATATTTAATAATGTTTATAGTAATTAGTTCAGATTTATACAGAAACACAACTACCTAAAATTGCTAGTTCTATCCTTGTTGCTTGTGTATTGGATTAAAATCTATCTTGCATCTTAAAAAGATTATTAGCCTTAGATAATGTATATTCTATCTTTAAAGGAATAAGCTAGTTAGTTACTTTACAGAAACTTTCCTGGAAAATTGCAAGTTATAAGTTAGAGATTAATATTTCTATTAAAGTGTTCTATAATAATTTTACTTAAACTCTTGTATTATATACTTGTTGTTTAGAAATTCTGACAAGTTTACTTTGTTTTTTTCTCAATAGCCAATATCATTTATTCAGTGATCATTTAAAAAAACAATTATCAGAAAATAGACATTATTCATCAATCTCTTCATTATGGCTAGATTTTATAAATCTCAGTTGCTGTAGTCATGTAGCATGGGTTATTTTTACACTTCTAAGGAAAAAAAGGTATTTTTATGAAGAATTTTGATCATTTCTGTGTAGATACTTACAAGAAGATTACGATTTCGGTTGGAACGTGCACCTGGTGAAACTTCATTGATAGATCGGACTGGCAGAATGTTGAAGATGGAACCCTTAGCTACAGTTGAATCTCTAGAACAATATCTCCTAAAAATGGTGAGCTTTTGTTCTGCAAGTATATGCTGAAATAAGCATTCTCTATTGTGGTTTAGCTTTTCAGAACAGTAGTTAAGGGATGTATGTATTAAATGATGTTATATAGTTTGACCCAGTAATTCCATTTTTTTAGGAATTAGTTTTAAGAAAATAATCTTTTAAGCTAGGCATAATGTCACGTGCTTGTAATCCCATTGACTTGGGAAATTGCTCAGCCTGGGCAACTTGGTGAGATACTATCTCAAAAAGTAAAAAGAGCTGTGGATGTAGCTCAGTAGTAGAGTGCTTGCCTAGCATGTGCAAGGCCCTGAGTTCCAAACCCCAGTATGACAAAAAATAAAACATAATAATAATCTTGTGTACACTGTGAATGCCTTCTACATAAAGATGTTTGTTATATTAGTTTGTAATATTGAAATAGTGAATACAGTCTTAATGCCCATCAATAAAAATCAAGTGTGTAATTATTTCTTTAAAAATTAAATTATTTTAACAGGTAATTGATAATTATTTCTAACAATTTTAATATTATATGGCTATTAAAATTTGTGATGATTAAAAATAATTGAAAAATGCTTTTGTATGCTATCATCAATATCTTTTATTCATTGAAATAGATAAAAGTAATACTGCAATATTAAGTAGTGGGGTGCCTCTATTTTTTTTATATATGGTATTCAGTATTTATGTAGGTATGTGTATTGGTGCTGGCAATTATTTTTCCATTATTTTAAAATGACCATTTTTTGGTTTTAAATTAATTATTTTTTTCCATATTTTTACCAGTGTATTATAATTAAACATAATGGTGGTGTTTGTTACATATTCTTACACGCACACTATATAAAATGAACATTTGTTATATTAAAATAAATATAATAACAACAACTTGAAAATTTCATTATTAAGGTGAATGTCTTCCATATTTTGCTTGGTTTAGGTAGCAAAGCAGTGGTATGATTTTGACCGATCTTCATTTGTTTTTGTTCGAAAATTAAGAGAAGGGCAAAATTTTATATTTCGGCACCAGCATGATTTTGATGAGAATGGAATCATTTACTGGATTGGGACAAATGCAAAGTAAGTTATTCGTTTTAAACTAGTCTGGCAGTATTCACCTGAATACTGGATAGTCAAATAAAATTTGAGTATCCTGCAGTTTAAGGAATTTTTTTCTTGCTGATTAAATTTAAGGTTATCTAAATTACTTCTTATGAAGAAAAAAAGTCTTAAGTTGCTAATTGTAGAATTTAACTAGTACAATTTTATATTTAAAAGCTAATGAAAAAATGCAGAAATGTTAATTTCTAATTTTTCTTTATTTTTCTGTAGAACTGCATATGAATGGGTAAATCCAGCTGCTTATGGACTTGTAGTAGTAACATCTTCAGAAGGAAGAAATCTACCGTATGGTCGCTTGGAAGACATATTAAGTCGTGATAATTCAGCTTTAAATTGTCATAGTAATGATGATAAGAATGCCTGGTTTGCCATAGATCTGGGTCTCTGGGTAATACCATCAGCATATACTCTTCGTCATGCTCGTGGTTATGGAAGATCTGCCCTGAGAAATTGGGTTTTCCAGGTATCCAAAGATGGACAGAACTGGACTTCTTTGTATACCCATGTTGATGACTGCAGTCTCAATGAACCAGGGTTAGTTGAGGAGTCTTTGCAAATTGGAAAACTCAGTAAAAAGCTTTGTTTATTTTTATAGTTGTGTACTCTAGAGTTCTCTTTGTGAAATAATGAAGCAAGATTTTCTTTTTGTAAACAAAATCACTTGATCTGTACTTAGGTATTAAAGCTTTGAAGTATTGGAAACTTTGTCAAAAAGTATAGGTTAAAGATTAGTAAAAAGCTGAGCATATTTATTTTAAAATTTTTATATGTATGTGTGTGTTTAGTACATGAGTAGAAACAGCAAAAAAAATGGGATTAATATAAACTCTCCATATAGTCACATTGTACACACGAATATTCAACAAATTAACAGTGGCTTTTATTTCAAAGAAATTTGTTCTATTATGTTTTGCTTATTTATTTGTGGTACTGGGAATCAAATCCAGAGCTTTGCATATGCTAGGTAGGCACTCTGCCACTGATAAATATCCCCAGTCCTCGTAAGTTTTACTTATACATTATGTCACATTCAAGGGTCATTACCAGAATATGGGGTTAAATTTCTTTCTGTGTTTGACATATTATGAAAAGAGCTTCTTGTCATTAGGATTAATAGGTAATATTTCCTATCTTTTTAAGCTTTGGAGTTAAAAATTTTAAATATATTATTTAAAACTTAGCAGGAATTAAAGAACTTTTTTAATCATAAAAGCTTATTTCTTTTCCTTGTAAGCTTTGTTTTATATTTAGATATTAATTGAATCTTTTAGTGTTATGAGTCAAATTAATAATATACTTTTTTGGGGGGTTTGGGTACTGGGGATTGAGCCCAGGGGCCCTTAACTACTGAGCCACATCTCTATCCCTTTTTATTTTTTATTTTGAGATAGGGTCTTGCTAAGTTGTTTAGGGCCTTGCTAAATTACTGAGGCTGACTTGAGCTTGCAGTTCTCCTGTCACAGCTTCCGGAGTCACAGCAATTATAGGCATGTTCCACCATGCCCAGCTAATGATATACATTTAAACATTTTATTTTTAATGTGTCTTGACCCTTTCCCCCATTGATTTCTTGATTCTTGTAATGAATTGCTTAAAGAAGATGAAAGTTTGTTTTTCCTAAAGCTTTCTATTATGGAAGAAATCTTCCCAGCTTTTTTCTTTTTTATCTGTGTGAAACATCTTTTTTATCTGTTTAAAAACATTTTTCTATAACACATTTATAGGTCAACTGCCACTTGGCCTCTTGATCCACCAAAGGATGAAAAGCAAGGGTGGAGACATGTGAGAATCAAACAAATGGGCAAGAATGCTAGTGGACAAACGCACTACCTCTCACTATCGGGATTTGAAGTTTATGGCACTGTAAATGGAGTATGTGAAGATCAGTTAGGTAAATAGAGGATATGAGATTTTTTAAAAAATTTAACTACAATTTATTTATAAAAAGTGATTTGGATTATATTTCTGAAATTGGTCCATTACAGGGAAAGCAGCTAAAGAAGCAGAAGCTAATCTTAGAAGACAGAGACGTCTAGTACGCTCCCAAGTTCTGAAATATATGGTTCCAGGAGCTCGTGTTATCAGAGGCCTTGATTGGAAATGGCGTGATCAGGATGGCAGTCCACAGGGAGAAGGCACTGTCACAGGAGAACTACATAATGGTGAGTAGGTCTAGCTTAGCACTTATAATATAGAAGTACTTAAATTTTAAGAATTTTTTTGTTATTTGGGATAATTTTATAAATTGTATAAAAGTATCCAGACTATATAGAAAAACTGATAATGATTTCACTTTAAAATTAGAAAAATGTTATGTAGAAATAAAAGAAATTTTAAAATTCTTGGGTTTGGGGGCTGGGGTTTTGGCTCAGCAGTGGAGTGCTCGCCTAGTGTGTATAGGGCCCTGGGTTCGATCCTCAGCACCACATATAAATAAATAAAATAAAGGCATTGAGTCCAACTACACCTAAAAAATAAACATTAAAAAAAATAAATAAAATTATTGGGTTTTGACTAGAAACTGCTGTCATTTTAAAATGATTATCAAGCTTATCCTTTTTTTTTTTTTTAAATTTATTTTTCTCAAGTTTCCTTTGGGCTCAGCTCTAATTTCTTATGCTTAACAGGATTAACGTTTTTACTTATTTTTCAAGAAAGCACGGAACAGAAACAGCTTCTATTTTTTAGTAGATTGTGATTATTTCACAGTGCTGCTTGGTCTACCAGCTTTGGGGAGGAGAATTTAAACTTTTATGTTAAGTAGGGCTTACTGTGTAAATCAATTTCATTTTTAATCTTTGATGGTATAGATTTTAATCAAGTCCTTACCCACATAATAAATTGCTTGACTCTCAAAGCAACTACTGAGGCTGATTTTTTTATTTTTAGTTGTAGGTGGACAAAATACTTTTATTTATTCTTATGCCATGCTGAGGATCAAACCCAGTGCCTCATACATGGAGGCAAGTGCTCTACCACTGAGCCACAACCCCAACCCTGATTTTTTTTTTTTAATAACTCTAAGACTGATTTATTATATAATTTGCCAGAATAATAGTGGATTCATTCCTGTCAATTTTGCCTAATATTAAAATATAAAATGTTCATATTTTCAACTTCTACCAAAAATTTAAAGTGACAGTGCTTAGGAGAATAAACTAACTTTTAATTTCATAATGTATTTGTGTTTTATATAACAAAGTCATTTATTTAAATAAATCCTTTGATTTTTATTGCTTGTATGATTCTGAACCTTGAATTTATCAAATGAATTTATGTACCACAAAACCCTAATTGTAAATCATTATAATCAAAGCAAGTTTGCAGTGAAGCAAAATTTATAGATACTAGTAATAGTTGAGATGACAATAGTACTGTTCAATTTAAAAATTTAAAATGTCATTGCTTTTAGGTATCTTGATTCTTAGAGTAAGTTTATATTCTGTTTCCCCTGAATTGTTTTGGCCTCAAAGGGTATGACTTAGTAAGAAGAGGCTAGTTAGGTACATGTGAATGCAGTTCATCTTTCTCTGGTTGCAGTCAGCTGAAATAACTGCATAAGAAAATATGAAAAAGAAAAAGAAAATAAGAATCTTAGTATCAGAATTTATTATTTAAGAAAGGCCTATTCTTTGCTGATATTACAAATGTAGAGATTCAGTTTGGGTTTAAAACCTTTATGTCCAAAAAGTTCTTAACTTTCAAATACTTGAGCCAACCATTTCTAATAATGACTAGTCTTTGTCATTTTGGGCATAGGAAGAGTTGAGTTTCATACCTCTACATTTAGGTATAGTGTGTATCTCTCTTTATAGTTCTACTAAAAGGTTTTAGGTCCCAGTTTAAACAAGCCTACTAAGTGATTAACATTTTTTAGTATTTTTTCTCCCTTCTGAAGAATCTCTGTGTTGATAGTGATATCCATTTATTTCACAGATATTGACTACTTACAGTGTAAAGCCATTTTCTTGAAATTCAGATCTTCAATGATCAAGAAAAAGTATGATTTCCTGCCTTCTAGATAAAGCTAACATGATTATAAATTTGATTAGAATTGTGAAATAATTTTTTTTACCAATACAAAACTCATTTTTATTTGGGATTGGAATGTTGTTGAACCTTGATTAGAACTGTGAAATAATTTTTTTTACCAATACAAAACTCATTTTTATTTGGGATTAGGATGTTGTTGAACCTTTCCTTTTCTCATGCTTTTCTGTATAGCAGAAGAGATAGTTAAAGTGTTGATTCTTCAGAGGTTATTTCAGTATACATAATATATTGAAGCAATTGAAATCTCATCTAAGCTACTTATGTAGATTTGGGGCAGTCAGTTTTCCTTTCAAAGAACTCATGTACAGACAAACCCCACAGGTAATGCAATATACTTAAACCCCTCTGAGCTTTATCATAAATATAAATGAACCTGGTGTAAGGGTGGTTGGGCAGCTGAGTATGTCAGTGGATGTGTATCCTGGAACTTGCACTCTGTGCGTGTGGGTAAAGTACTTTTAAATTTTCTAAAAGCTTGGTATACTTAAAAAGAGTAAATGTTTTTTGTGTTTGTTTTTTTTTTTCCTGAAGTAATTGGCTTATAAAACTAAAATAAAATAGTAAAATTGTTAATTTCCTCTCTAATGGGCAATTTCTCTCCCACCACTTTTTTTGGATTCCCTTTGGGCTTTTATAACCTTTTTTTTTTTTTTTTTTTTAAGTATTTTCCAAATACGAGTAACTATAAAATTGAATATTATGATGCTCAGTAGTTCTTTATGTATTATTAGCTTTAGAGCATATAGGTTCTCATAAGAGCTAAGCTGTTTTTTAAGTTTTGTTTTAAAATTTTCTGTGCTTATTCAGATTTATTAAACTTAATCATAAGAGAATCAAATAACCACTGAACTTTGAGAACACAACCGAAATGCTAATATAATGTTTAATTTGAGCTAGTAACCTAAAATTTCTACAAGTGATCTATGAATATTTTATTTTAGAGAGGTTAGCCCTTTTTTTAGATAGTAGGGTGGCACTTTTTTAAGAAAGAAATTTGACCATGTAATCATATCTAACAATTTAAAACCTTTTTATTTATTTGCTGAAGCTGCAGTACTTAACCATTTGCATCAGTCTTTTAAAAATTTTTTAAAATTCCTCCATTTGATATATAACACAAAAGATGTAAACACGACCACTAACATTATTTTTAAAAAATCACTAGTCTTCAACAGTTCAAAAATAAGAGTTTCAAAAGGTTTCCCAGAAATCTTTTGTACAGTACATATTTTAAATTTGTACAGTACATATTTCTTTTCCTTAATATAATTTTATTATGAGAGTTTAATAATTCAGACCTTCAAATAGCTAGATTAATCATGTATAGTCAAAAAATATTTCAGTTGATTCAAGTCCAAAAATTTACATTTTAGTTGGCAGACCTTAAATGATTGTAGAAATTCAGGAAAGTACAGCACTGATGAAAAGCTGATCCCATGTTGTGGAGCTACTATCTGACACGCTCCTGTCTACTTTCTGCTGGGTCTCACAAACTCCTGTCCCTTTCCAGGCTGGATTGATGTCACCTGGGATGCTGGTGGCTCAAACTCTTACCGTATGGGCGCAGAAGGAAAATTTGACCTCAAGCTTGCACCAGGGTACGACCCTGATACAGTGGCATCACCCAAACCTGTTTCATCCACTGTTTCAGGCACAACGCAATCATGGAGCAGCTTGGTGAAAAACAACTGTCCAGACAAGACATCTGCTGCTGCAGGCTCCTCAAGTAGAAAAGGAAGCAGCAGTTCTGTGTGTAGCGTGGCCAGTAGCAGCGACATCAGCTTGGGTTCGACCAAAACGGAACGGAGATCAGAAATTGTAATGGAACACAGTATAGTTTCAGGAGCTGATGTACATGAACCAATTGTTGTTCTTTCATCTGCTGAAAACGTCCCTCAAACAGAAGTAGGGTCATCTTCCAGTGCAAGCACGAGCACCTTAACAGCGGAAACGGGAAGTGAAAATGCTGAAAGGAAGTTAGGCCCTGATAGTTCTGTTCGTACTCCTGGGGAGTCTAGTGCAATATCCATGGGAATTGTTAGTGTTAGCTCTCCTGATGTTAGTTCTGTATCTGAATTAACTAATAAAGAAGCAGCTTCACAGCGACCCCTTAGCTCTTCAGCAAGTAACAGACTGTCAGTGAGTTCTTTGTTGGCTGCTGGGGCCCCTATGAGCTCTAGTGCAAGTGTACCTAATCTGTCCTCAAGAGAAACATCTAGCTTGGAAAGTTTTGTAAGGAGAGTGGCAAACATAGCACGGACTAATGCCACGAACAACATGAACCTAAGCCGAAGCAGCAGTGATAACAACACTAATACTTTGGGGAGGAATGTGATGAGCACAGCAAGTAAGTGAGCTTTTCCTTATGGAACCCCATGCTTTTTCCACTGGAGGGATATAAAATAGGGTCTCATATATTCATGTGTAGTGGCTGCAGTCTTTAACAAGATCATTAACCACATTGGAGATGACATCAGATTTTAACACTTCAGGAATATGAGGTTAAGTTTTATAGAATTACAGTATTTTAAGACTTGAGCTCAGGTATGATAAAGAATCTTTTATTCTAAAAGGATAAAACAGTAACACATTTTTCACTCCTTTGTGATAATTGGTTTAGCAAAGTTGCATGAAGAAATAAACAATAATTAAATATTATAGTCCATTGAAACCAAAGCTTTGCCCTGGTATAGCTTTTTCTTAGCCCCTGAATTCATTTTAGCTTCTTAAAGTCGTTTAATTTAAGAGACTAATGGGTCAAACTAATTCCCTTGAAAAATAAATTGGGAATTATTTTCATTGCTTGTTTCATTTTTTTAAAAAGCTAGGCTTTATATTTTTAAAAATAACAGTACTATAAAAACAAGAATTTTTAGTTGGATTTCAGTTGGGTTCCCAAAGTTGTTGCTTTTCAGCCTTTTATTATTAGTGTGTTTCATGAACTCTAAAAAATGTAAATCTTGTTTTTCTTCAAGGTTCCTACAGTTCTGCCTATTTATACTGATTTGCTTTATTTTTTATGTTTAGCTTCTCCTCTTATGGGTGCTCAGAGTTTTCCCAATTTGACCACACCTGGTACTACATCCACAGTGACTATGTCAACATCCAGTGTTACTAGCAGCAGCAATGTAGCTACAGCGACAACAGTTTTATCAGTTGGTCAGTCGTTAAGTAATACTTTAACCACCAGCCTCACATCAACTTCCAGTGAGAGTGATACAGGTCAGGAAGCAGAATATTCCTTATATGGTAAGTTATAGTTTAAAGTAAAATTATTTAGAAATTTATGTAATGATGCTTTTATTACATTTATCTCATGGGATATTTTTAACTTTTAGTTTAAAAAGAATTATTCCTTCTTATAAATATGGGAACTTTATGTAAGATGGAGAGACTATTAAAAATTTCATGATTATAAAGAAAGTACACTCTAGGAACTTAGATGTGTTATCCGTTTTTACTTTTGTGTTTAATGAAGAACTGTAGTAAACAAAGATATTTGCACCTTTATCAATAAAAGAAGCGATATATTAATAAGCTTTGTAAAGTGATATTCCTTGATATTACCAGGGTCTTCTGGAAATAATTTCCCTAATTGGGTAACATTTGAATTTTGTTAGTTAATTAAATTTTGCTTAGAAAATGTTAGAGTTATATCATCATGTCTTCTATGCTGTAGTCAGAGATGCAGTTATTTGATTCAATTGAAATGTGTATTTTATTAGAAAAGTGATACTTTCTAGAAAATGTAGAAGAAAATTAAAACCATCTAGTGCTCACATTTTAAATCTGATTTGGGGCATGTCATATGTATGTTTTGTTTTTAGTAAAAAGAGATTGTATCTTTTTAGCCAGCTCTTTTAATTTAGTACCATTTGAAAATATTTTCACATTGTTGAATGGGTTTCTACAAGATTTGAAATGAGTGTATTTGTATGTTTCTTTAGGATAAATTCCTAAAAGAGTAACTACTAAATTGTCTTCCAAAAAACTTGCATTCCCATGATTGTTTGAGTACCCTTTACACACATCCTTGATCATATCACCTATTCTTTTTTTTTTTTCCTTTTTCAGTGCTAGGAACCCAGGCCTCACACATGCTAGGTGAGCACCCTAACACTGAGCTACGGCCCCCCAGCCCTCTTCTTTATTTAACAATTGTTTTTTGTAATTTCAAAGACAAAATTTATATGAAGATATATTTTAAGTACTATTTAACCTCCTTTCAATAGGCTCTCTGTCTCTCTCTCTCTCTCTTTCTTTCTTTCTTTCTTTGGGACTTGAAAGTGGGACCTAGAACTCTACCACTGAGCTATAATCTGAGCCTTTTTTTTATTTAGAGACAGAATCTTGCTAAGTTGCCCATGTTGGCCTTAAACTTGTGATCCTTCTGCCTCAGCCTCCTGAAGACCTAGGATTATAGTTGTGTATTACACTGTACCATGCCCCGTGATTTTTTTTTTCCCCCTGAGTCTCTGGCCTCTCTTATCCAAAGTCAAAAAATTTGATCTGATGTTTTACGTTTTTTTGGAAAGTGGAATTTCTGTTTCTACTTTGCCTGTTAAGTGTATTTTCAAAAATGATGATGATGATTATTACACCAGTCTTAAAATTTATTGTTATTTTCAAATGTATTATTTCTCAGAGGGGCCCTCTTTCCCTTCCTACTCATTTGTTAATATGTTAACTTCAGGCTTTAGTTACTAGTCATGTGAAGTTTAGGAAAACTAGATATGCTAGTGAGGAAAAGTAGTTAAAAGTTAGGACTACTAGTCAGTTTTTAAAAATTATTTTTAGGTTCTGAAAATTTCTTTTTCTTCTTTCCTAAAACTTTATGACTCTTAAGTCTGCTAGTATAAAGGATCAGAATAACATCACTTCTTCTAATATCTATGTGTGCAATGTAAACTTTTATTGTGACATTTTGAAAACTATGATTTGACTGTTGTATGAAAAAAGGGAAAATGAGAAAAATTGACTTCAGTAAATTGTAACGTATCAGAGACAAATTTCAGTATATAAAGTTGTGTGTTCCATAAGTGATAAACCAAAAATAGAATTGGTTTATTTTCTGTACCACGATATCCTGTTCATGAGAATTGCTATGTAAATTACAAGATGGCCCTTCTTATATCTTAGGGGTTATATATATTATCAAATTTAAGATGCCATTAATTATAAGACACCATTTTTTATGTTCCTAAAGCTAAAAATGTTGCCCACTTAAAATGCTGTGTCTTGTCAGCAATTGTGATACATATTCTGATTTCAGAACATTAAATGTTAGAAAATGTGATCTTAAAAATTCATTTAGTATCAGGTCTCTTCCTTTGATTGGTCATCCAATAAATGTGATCCTTCTGCCTCAGCCTCCTGAAGAGCTAGGAGGCAGAAGGACTTATATTAAATATATAGTCCTCTAATTATTAGACTAAAAACATATTTGGTTCAAAGGTGTGTAGATGCAAGTTTCTTATAAATAACCTTCTGGAAGTTCTTTAAGAATATAGAGTACCTCTTATGTTCAGTTCTGATATTATTTTAGGGGTTTTTAGTCCCCTTCCAGATCCAGTAAAAACTTCGTTTTTAACCTCATTAGTTCTCTTTTCATTTTCAATTCTTCTTTTTTTTTCTTTTGTACCAGGGATTGAACTCAGGGGCACTTGACCACTGAGCCACATCCCCAGCCCTAGTTTTTGTATTTTATTAGAGACAGGGTTTCACTGAGTTGCTTAGTGTCTCGCTTTTGCTGATGCTGGCTTTGAACTCATGATCCTCCTGCCTCAGCCTCCCAAGCTGCTAGGATTACTGGTGTGCGCCGCCACGCCTGGCTTCTTACTGATCTTTGACCTTTAATATTTCCTTGCAAATCTATGCCATTGAGCATACTTTTTTCTGGGGGAGGGGTACCAGGGATTGAACTCAGGGGCAGTTGACCACTGAGCCACATGCCCAACCCTATTTTGTATTTTATTTAGAGACAGGGTCTCACTGAGTTGCTTAGCACCTCATTGTTCCTGAGGCTGGCTTTGAACTCTAAGATCCTCCTGCCTCAGCCTCCTGAGTGCCTGGGATTAAGGGTCTGTGCCACCATGCCTGGCTTGTTTTCAGTTCTTAAGAACAACTTGTTAACATTCTTGTATATGTGGGACAATGTAAATTTGACCCAAATCTTCACTGGGGGAGAGATCCTAAGAAGGAAGGAGATAAAAGAAATTCAAGATTATTGAACTTCCTATGTGGTAGATAATTGAAAGATGCTATTTATATTATTTCATAGCAAATATTCATTATTCTTAAGTAGTTATTATTAAGTAACATGCCAGGTCTAAAGCCAGGATTCACTGATTGGCTTTTGTTTCCTTCATAAGATCTTTTATAGCTTATATTTATATATTTATTTTTTACTTGTTAAATGCCCTTGTCTCTTATAGGCTAATAGAGACTGAGACCATGTCTGTTTTGGTTATAACTATATATGCACCTAGTGCCTAACTCTGTTCTTGGCACATAGCATATGCCCAATAGATATTTGCAGGTAGAATGAATTAATCCAAAGTGTTTCTTTCCACCATATTGTGGAATATGGTATATTCCTGCAATATTTAGAGAATGATAGGGTTGTCTTTGTTAAAAACAGCCTTCATGGTTACCCTTTTATATAATGATTTTGTAGATGCAAATATAGTTTATAGTCATCTGCTATCCTATGTTGTTTTCTACCAGGCTTTTGACTATTTCCCATTATTAATCATCTATGTGTGGTGGTGGAAGATGGGTGGTATCATTCAATGGTCTTTATAAACTTGAACCTTTTTTACCTCTGTTTTGTATGGTCTAAAATGCATTTACCTTGCTATTCTTGTTAATTGTGTTGACAGTAGGTTGTTGGTTTTGTTTTCTAGATTTTCTTGATAGCTGCCGTGCCAGTACTTTGTTAGCTGAGCTAGATGATGATGAGGATTTGCCTGAGCCTGATGAGGAAGATGATGAGAATGAAGATGACAATCAAGAGGATCAAGAATACGAGGAGGTTATGGTAGAGAGAAAGTCCCCCTTTCTTTTCACTAAGATAGGATTTTAAAATTATTTATTCTAATTTGTTATACATGATGCAGAATGTATTACACATATAGAGCACAATTTCTCATGTCACTGATTGTACACAAAATATTTTCACACCATTTGTGTCTCCATACGTGTACTTAGGGTAATGATGTCTAACTCATTCCACCATCATTCCTACCTTCTTTGCCCCTCCATTCCCCCCTCCCCTTTGCTGAATCTAAAGTTTCTCCATTCCTCCCATGCTCCCCCACCCCACATCGCCATTATGAATCAGCATCCTCACATCAAAGAAAACGTTCGACCTTTGGTTTTTTGGGATTGGCTTGCTTCATTTAGCATTATATGCTCCAACTCAATCCATTTACCTGCAAGTCCCATGATTTTATTCTCTTTTAATGCTAAGCAATGTTCCACTGTGTATATATACCAAAGTTTCCCTTTCCATTCATCTACTGAAGGGCATCTGGGTTGGTTCCACAGTTTAGCTATTGTGAATTGTGCTGCTATAAACATTGATATGGCTGTGTCCCTGTAGTATGCTGTTTTTAAGTCCTTTGGGTATAAACCAAGGAGTGGGATAGTTGGGTCAAATGGTAGTTCCATTCCCAGTTTTCCAAGGAATCTCCATACTGCTTTCCAGATTGGCTACACCACATTGCAGTCCCACCAGCAATATATGTGTGTACCTTTTTCCCCACATCCTCGCCAACATTTATTGTTGTTTGTATTCTTGATAGCTGCCATTCTGACTGGAGTGAGATAAAATCTTAGAGTAGTTTTGATATGCATTTCTGTAATTGCTAGAGATGTTGAACATTTTTTCATATGTTTGTTGATTGATCGTATATCCTCTTCTGAGAAGTGTCTGTTCAGTTTCTTGGGCCATTTGTTGATTGGGTTATTGGGTTATTATAGGATGTTAATAATTGAAGAGAGGAAAAACTAAGTCATAATTAAACTTTGCAGGAAGGATATATGGCACCAGTTTGAAAACAGTGGTTAAGAATAAAACACTTTTTTAGCTGCATGTGGTGGTGGCAACCTGTGTAATCCCAGCGACTCAGGAGGCTGAGACAGGAGAATCATGAGTTCAAAGCCAGTTTCAGCAACTTAGCGAGGCACTAAGCAATTCACTGAGACCCTGTCTCTAAATAAAATACAAAATAGAGCTTTTTTAGTTTTCAGTGGACCTTTATTTTATTTATTGATACATGGTGCTGAGAATCGATCGAACCCAGTGCCTCACACATGCTAGGCAAGCCACAACCCCAGCCCTAAAGCTGGGTTTTTTAAATCTTGGCTTTGATGAATCTCTTTGTATTTGAAAACTACTAAAATTTCATATACCATTTTTTTTTAAAACAGGTTCAAAGGTTTGTGAACTTAGGGGCAATTGCACTACCAGGGGTGCCTAACCACTGCGCTATATTCTCAGGGCAGCCCCCTCCCCACTTTTTGTGCTAGGGATTAAATCCACAACCTGTAGTATGCCAAGTATACACTCCACCAGTTACCTCCGAGATGGATATTATTACCAGTCCTTTGAATTTTTTGAGACAAGGTCTCATTAAGTTACTTAGGGTCTCACTAAATTGCCTAGCATGGCCTCAAACCTGTAAGCTTCCTAAGTCACTGGGATTATAGACATGAGCCTAGCTGACCACAAGTCTTAAACTCTTAAAGGTTTTTTTTTTTTTTTTTTTTTTTTTTAGTTTCTACTGTTTTACAAGGATATCCATGTATTTTCTTAACAGTCATAACATGGAGGAATGAGGCAGAGTCATAAAACCATAATTTGCTCATATTATCAGAGTTAGGTAGAAAATTGGAACCCAGTCTTAGCTGTATAATTCAAAACTCTTAATCAACCACTATGATTGTTTTATAATTTAAAGTCATGCCTCTGATGTCCTTTATTTTATTTTCCTATTTAAAAAAATTTTTTTTACTTGTTGATTGACCTTTATTTATTTACTTATATGTGGTGCTGAGAATTGAACCCAGTGCCTCACACATGCTAGGCAAGCACTCTACCACTGAGCTATAACCCCAACCCCAACAAAATACCTTTATTTTTTATGTGGTGCTGAGGATCGAACCCAGGGCCTCACACATGCTAGGTGAGCGCTCTACCACTGAGTCACAACCCCAGTCCTATATATTATGAGTTTCTTTTTCTTTTTTTTTTTTTTTAAATATTTATTTTTTAGTTGTAGTTGTACACACACCTTTATTTCACTCGTTTATTTTTGTATGTGGTGCTGAGTATCGAACCCAGTGTCTCGCACATGTGAGGTGAGCATTCTACTGCTGAACACAACCCCAGCCCATGAATTTATTTTTCTAAAATGTTAAATATTAAAAAAACGTTGAATTTTTTTGTGTGGTGAAGAAATCCTCAAAATGCTTTCTTAGTATACATTGCTTAGAAAACACATTAATGCTGGGTGTGGCAGCATATGCCTGTTATCCCAGCAGTTTGGGAGGCTGAGGCAGGAGGATTGCAAGTTTGAGGCCAGCCTCACCAATTTAGCGAGGCTCTAAGTTACTTAGTGAGACCCTGTTTCAAAATAAAAAATAAGGACTGGTGATGTGGCTCAGTGGTAAAACACCCTAGGGTTCAATCCCTATTCCCCCAAAACCAACAAGAAAAAGAGAAGAAAGCATGTTAGCATATTTCTTTACAAAGGAGTATAGTATAAAATACTTCATGAATTTAAAACATTGAATTTATAACTTCTGGAGATAACTAATAAAGAATATGGGATGATGATTATGTGAAAGTTTTTTTTTTTAAATTAGTATTTTTTAGTTGTTGTACCTTTATTATTTATTTATTTATATGTGGTGCTGAGGATCAAACCCAGCGCCTCACACATGCTAGGCAAGCGCTCTGCCACTGAGCCACAACCCCAGCGCCATGTGAAAGTTTTTTTTTAGTGATACTTTTGTTAATATGGATTGATAGTTTCAGGAAGGGCCAAATGGTGGGCACGTGTAGTGGTCAAATAATTAGACTTGTGTCTCTTGGCATTTTTTAACTTCAGATTCTAAGACGTCCATCCCTGCAACGTAGAGCTGGTTCCCGCTCTGATGTAACACATCATGCCGTTACCTCGCAGCTACCACAGGTCCCTGCTGGAGCAGGGAGCCGACCTATTGGGGAGCAGGTAATATTGTCATGTTTATTTTAATAATTTTTATACACAGAAAAACACCAACCAAAACATCTACAGTAATATGTGGGTGCATTTGAGGTGGAGAGGAGGCAGCTATGAGAGTTGCAAAATGAAATATCTCCTACTGTGTGGCTTCCAAATTACAAGTAAATTCTGATTTCTCTGGCAATTTTCATACTTAAAACCTCTTTATCATTCTATGCCTAAGTGATATGGTAAAATAAGGAAGTAAAATAGCTGTAAAGAACTGCTTAACATTTATTTTATATTGTAGATAGTACATTGCTTATGGAAAAATAACAATTGATCTTGTAATGTTGAACTGTATGTGGGATTTTGTTTTAATAGGAAGAAGAAGAGTATGAGACTAAAGGAGGACGCCGGAGAACATGGGATGATGATTATGTGCTAAAGCGGCAGTTTTCTGCTTTAGTTCCTGCTTTTGATCCTAGACCAGGTCGTACGAACGTCCAGCAGACAACTGACCTAGAAATTCCACCCCCAGGTATAGTTTGTCTTAGTTTAGTCATTTAATTTAACAGATATTTACTTATCTACAGTTGGAAAAGTAAGATTTCTTTCTTTTTTTTTTTTTTTAAGCTATGTTTTTTCCCTCCCTAATAAACAAGGCAGATACGTTTTTTATATATATTTATTTTTTAAGTTTTAGGTGGACACAGTATCTTTATTTTGCATTTATGTGGTGCTGAGAATTGAACCCAGTGCCTCGTGCATGCTAGGCGAGCTCTCTATCACTGAGCCACAACCCTAGCCCCAGTAAGGTTATTTATTACCTGCTTATATATGCTTCTTTTGGAAAAGTTTTTAATCAGTCCTTGAAAAGGCCGATGTTTTAGAGGAATAAATTATAATTTTGGAGTGGTATTGGTACTGCTGAGATTGAACCTAGGACCTTGTGTGTTTTAGGCATGCATTCAAACACTGAACTGCATACTCAACCCACAAATTATTTAAAAATTTTTAAAAACTCCATGTGTTTTGTATTTGTACAGTCTTTAAAGCAAGGCATTATTTAAAAGTGGGACATTTTTGGTGCCTGCCTGTAAATCTCAGCAATTTAGGAGCCTGAGGCAGGAGGATTGTGAGTTCAAAGTCAGCCTCAGCAAAAGTGAGGCGCTACATGACTCAGTGAGACGCTGTCTCTAAATAAAATACAAAATGGGTGGTGAGGATATAGCTCAGTGGTTGAGTGCTCCTGAGTTCAATCCCCAGCACCAAACCAAACCAAAACCCCCCCAAAAAACCCTTCCCCTAAGAATATTAATGTAGGCCAAGCTGGTGCAAACCTCAAAATGACTTATGACTTTAAAAGTATTTATATTATCAAAAATTGAAAATTGCCTTAAGACTATTATGATACTAAGAAAAGTTTCATGAGCTATTAAAAAGAAGAGAGTTCAACAACAAATATATTTATCAACCTAATTATATTTGTGTGTGTGTGTTTACCTCACAATTTACATATATAGTGTAAGTAAAAGTTTGGAAGGTAGGTTGCTGGGCATGGTAACACACACCTATAATCCCAGAGGCTTGGGAGGCTGAGGCAGGAGGATCAGAGTTTCTAAGCCAGACTTAGCAATTTATTGAGGCTGTAAGCAACCTAGTGAGACCCTGTCTCAAAAAGTAAAATTGGGGGGTTGGGTTTGTTGCTCAGTGGTAGAGTGCACATCTAGCATGGGTGAGGCACTGGGTTTAATCCTCAGCACCACATAAAAATAAATAAAAATGAAGGCATTTTGTCCACCTACAATTTAAAAAATAAAATAAAATTGGCTGGGGTTGTTACTTAGTGCTTAAGTACCCTTGGGTTCAATCCCTTGTACCACAAAGAAAAAGGTTTGAAAGGTTATTGACTCAGAAGTATCTGAATATAAAATTATGGATAATTTTACTTTTCTCATTTTGTAAAATTAGAATGTTTTATAAGTATTCATTCAGTTATTCATACATGTGTTTCCAAATAAAAATAAAATCCATACTATATGTATCTATCCTTCCAATTATATTCTTTTTTGGGGGGAGCGATAATTGAACCCAGAGGTGCTTAACCACTGAGCCACACCCCCAGCCCTTTTTTGTATTTTATTTAGAGACAGAGTCTTGCTGAGTTGCTTAGGTTGCTGAGGAGGCTGGCTTTAAACTCCTGATCCTTCTGGTTATGAGGAGTGGGTTCTTAATATACTTAAAGTGTCACTTCGCCCCTTGAGCTGCTAGGATTATAGGCACCCGGCTATCTTATTATATTCTTAACTCAGCCTTTAACTTTTAATTGTTTCCATTAAAAAAGAAAGTTGAAGTCAGGAGAGTCTTAAGTAGCTAACGCTAATATATGGAAGAAGGATTTGAATTTCATGTACACTTGTCTTACAGTGCAGTGTTCTTCCTGGACTGCTTATTTTCGTATGATTGTTTTTTTACATGTCTTCTAAAAATTTTAGGAACACCTCATTCAGAGCTCTTGGAAGAAGTTGAATGTACTCCATCACCTCGATTAGCCCTCACTTTGAAAGTAACAGGTCTTGGAACAACTCGTGAAGTTGAATTACCACTCACCAATTTCAGATCAACCATATTTTACTATGTACAAAAATTACTTCAGTTGTCCTGTAATGGCAATGTGAAATCAGATAAACTTAGGCGTATTTGGGAGCCAACATACACGTAAGAGATTTTAACTTAATGTTTAAAAAGACATGTTTATAGCATATGAGCCAAGAAGCATTATTTTTCTGTATTTTTGGATTGTAGGAACAGATGATTTGTTTCATTTTCCATTAATGTACAGGAACATAAGAGAGTATTTTTGTCTCCTGATGTTGTTTTAGAACTGGAAGGACATTTAGAAATAATCTAGATCGTTTTTGGGGAGGGGAATAGGGATTTAACCCAGGGAGAGTTTAACACTGAACTACATCCCCATCCCTTTTATTGTTTATTTTGAGACAGGGTCTCATTAAATTGCTTAAGGCCTTGCTAAGTACCTGTGGCTGGCATTGACTTTGTAATCCTCCTGCCTCAGCCATCTGAGTTGCTGGGATTACAGATGTATACCAGCTAACTGAGCTGGACTAACTATGTAATAATTGTTGAAAATGTCATTTGAACTTTTTGATGGAAATTGTGTATGAAGCACTATTTTCTATTAATTCCTTACTTCGGGATTTTTCATTTATACAGATAATTATCAGTAACGTGGGGCATATTTAACATTTTGTGCCTTACTTTCTTAATCTGTAAAATGAGGCCAGTTATGAGGAGTGGGTTCTTAATATACTTAAAGTGTCACTGCTTTCAAAAAAATATTACCTATAAAATGTTTCATAATATTAATAACATAAACATTTAATTGTATTATTATCATCCTTATTGTAACTTCATTTTTACTACTGTATCTTCTCATTTTTCTTAACATCACTGATAATTTTATATAATGTCCAATAAAAGTAATGTAGGCTCTTTTGAGGTAGAACACAGAATAGCCTACCTTCAATTTTGTACTACAGTACAAAATTCTGATGCCTTTTATATACATGTTTATGAGCATAAGGTCTTCTCATTATTTCTAGTCTTTTTTCCATATAGATACATAAAAACTATTTCTTATTCCATTTTATTTTACAGTAGCTTGAATGTCATAACAGTTGGTATAAATCATTTTTTCACATCTTTAAAAGTTCTAATTTTGATGTCTGTTTTCTTTGCAATAATGCTAATAGATTTAGAAATATGGTTTCTGTCCTTATGTTTAACAACTTACATTTTTTTCTTAAATATTCTTTAGTTCAGTGTTCAATGCAAGCATGTTTAGTAAAGGACATCATTCGTTCACTTTTTAAAGAATATCATTTACATTTGAATTAACTAGAGTAATATCTTCTTGTTTAGAATTATGTACAGAGAAATGAAGGATTCCGACAAAGAAAAGGAAAATGGGAAAATGGTAAGTTATTTTTAGAAAATAGGTCTTATACTTAGTTCTTGAGTTAAAAAAAAAGAAGAAAAAACACTAATACCGTGTTGCGCTTGAACATTTGAGGGAAAAATAACTAAGGTATCCTTTTAAGTGCATGATTTTAAAGCTACCTCATGTAATGCATGTGATATACTATAGACTTTATAACAGGGAAAGGCCAACATTTGGTTTTTCCTATTGTAGGGTTGCTGGACTATAGAGCATGTGGAACAGTACCTTGGCACTGATGAGTTACCAAAGAATGATTTGATAACCTACCTGCAGAAGAATGCAGATGCTGCTTTCCTGCGCCACTGGAAATTAACTGGCACTAATAAAAGTATTAGAAAAAACAGGAATTGTTCTCAGCTCATAGCTGCATATAAGGTATATATATATTGGCATCTAAAACACTATTTTGTTTGGGAATGGCTTTGTGCTTTGTTTTATAACTCTAAAAACTTCTTAAGGGCCTGGGGATGTAGCTTAATAATAGAATGCTTACCTAGCATGTGCTAGGCCCTGGGTTCGCTCTTCAGCATGGGGGGTGGGGTGGGGTGGGGTGGGGTGTTGGGACAATTAAAAAAAAAATCAGTTTTAATTAACATTATTAACGTGCCATGCTAAAATTGCAACTATGGCTTGTAGCAATGGATCAGAGCATAGTCTTTTAATTATGGTTTATACTGGTTATGTTTTGACAATTTTTATGGTTTAGAATGCATTGGTTTTTGTTTTGTGACACTTTTTATTTCAAAATAAGGTTATTCTTTGAAAAATTCCAGCTTTTTCAAAGTAATACATACAGATGGACATATTGTTCTTAAAAATGTGCTTAATGGCCAGTTTTGCTAATTGTTTTTTCAGGATTTTTGTGAGCATGGAACAAAGTCTGGATTAAACCAGGGGGCCATTTCCACTCTTCAAAGCAGTGATATTCTTAATTTGACAAAAGAACAACCTCAGGCCAAAGCAGGCAATGGACAGAACTCTTGTGGAGTAGAAGATGTCCTTCAACTTTTACGTATTCTGTATATTGTTGCAAGTGATCCTTACTCAAGAATATCCCAAGAAGGTCTGTAAGAAGCCTTGTGTCATTTTGATAGCATTTTTAAAGCAAGTCAGTTTTTATTTCATTAATTTTGTTAATTAATTTTATAGATGGTGATGAACAGCCTCAGTTTACTTTTCCACCAGATGAATTTACTAGTAAAAAAATCACAACAAAAATTTTGCAGCAGATTGAGGTAATAAAATCACATGAATTAACTATAGTATATAACTGTTGGGCTTTTCACAGTATTCCATCTCCTTTTGTCATTCACAACTGTGTCTTTTCTCATATTCAATAATTTGGGCCATATGTTCTTTTACATTCATTATTAATTGCATTTAAGAGTTGATATTACTTTTTTCTACTAAAACATTGTTATTTGTTAATTTGCAGGAGCCACTGGCATTGGCAAGTGGGGCTCTGCCAGACTGGTGTGAACAATTAACCAGCAAGTGTCCTTTTCTAATACCATTTGAAACTAGACAACTTTATTTCACATGTACAGCATTTGGTGCCTCAAGGTAGGAAGTGAATTTTGTTTTTAAATAAAAAATTTATTATTGATTTATTTTTTAATTCAGGGGTATTTTACCACTGACTGAGCTATATCCTCAGCCCTTTTTTACTCTTTGAAATAGGTTCTTGCTAAGTTGCTTAGGGCCTTGCTAAGTTACTAAGGCTGGCTTTGAACTTGTGTTCCTCCTGCCTCAGCCTCCTGAGTTGCTGGAATTACAGGTGTATGCTACTCTCCCCAGTGGAAGTGCATCTTTTTCTAAGAATAAATATATATATATGTTTATAAATTATATATAATACATATTATATTTATGTTCAAAATGTACAAATATACTGTTAAATAAATGGAGAAAATATAAGTTATGTTGTAAATAGTTATCATCATTTTTAAAAATTTCTTTTCCAGTTGGAAAATATGCTTTGTTGGAGTACTGTGGATTGAATTAAATGTTTCCATCAACTAAGATTTACTGTACAGTTCTTTAGTAATTTATACAAATTATTTATTGTTAAAATTCCCAATAATAGCCAGGCACAGTGGCACTCGCCTGTAATCCCAGTGGCTCATGAGGCTGAGACAGGAGGATCTCCAGTTCAGAGCCAGCCTCAGCAAAGGCGAGGTGCTAAGCAATTCACTGAGACTGTATTTCTAAATAAAATACAAAGTAGGTCTGGGGGTGTGGCTCATTGTGCACCTGAGTTCAATCCTTGGTAGCAAAAAAATCCCAGCAATACCAAATTAAATGCTTGTAAACAGCTTTGATAATATTTAAATTTATTTTTCTTCTGACCATCATTTTTTTTTTACCCCCTTCTAATATGCTGCATATTTTACTTACTTTTGTATGTTTCCCTCCATTGGATCACAATTTCATGAAAATGGGAATTTCTGACTCTTTTTTTCATGCCCTAGATAAGATACCTAAAACAGTATATATAGCACATCATGAGAACGTCATACAACATCATAGGTGTTAAATATTTTGTTGAATGACTGTGCACCCTAAGTACTCTGTCAAAGTAGGTGTAAAGTTATAATTTAAAATGTAACTCTTCTCTTTGCTGATGTTATATTTTTCTTCCATTTAATACCATTTATAAAATATTTGTACACATAGAATTACAGGCTTGTTGTGATAAATGAGGAAATTAAGTCTCAAAGTACTTAGCTGATTTGCCTGAGATTACCAAAATAATAGTCCCCATACATGATAGTAGAAACCTCATCTTCTTATTCCTATTTAGAGGTTCTTTTTCTCATCCTTAATGGATTAGCTCTGTTAAAAAGAAAATGTTTTAATATTATAATAACTATTTTGATGGTGGTTTTTAGTTTGTTTCATAGTAATAAAGAGAGCTTAACCATTGTTTAGTTTCTTTGATAGGAACTGTTTGTCTATATTTTGATGTATTATGTGGGGCTTGGAGTATGGATCTTTATTTAATTGCTAAAATAATGATAGAAAATATAGATCCAGTCTTTTCTCAGTTTGTTTAAGATAGATTATAATTAAAGGAATTTTATATATTGATATATAAGAAAGGAAGCAGTAAACTATGCAATATAAAATTACTGTTCAAAAAACTCACTTGAGCTATGCATGGTGGTGTATGCCTGTAATCCCAGCAACTTGGGAGGCCGAGATCGAAAGTTCAAGGCCAGCCTCAGCAATTTAGCAAGGCCCTGTCTCAAAAACTAAAAAAGGGCTAAGAATGTGGCTCAGTGATTAAGCATCCTTGAGTTCAATCCCTGATACCAAAAAGGGGGGGAAAAATCTTGCGACTAAATACTGTCTTTTAAAATTTCTTAAAGAAATCTTTGTAATGTGTTGTTGGTGTAATAGTACATGCATCTGTTAAAGTGTGTTACAATTACACTGATATTTCTATTTCAGAGCAATAGTGTGGTTACAAAACCGGCGTGAAGCCACTGTGGAACGAACAAGGACCACAAGCAGCGTAAGGAGAGATGATCCTGGGGAGTTTAGAGTTGGTCGTCTCAAGCATGAAAGAGTAAAAGTTCCACGTGGTGAATCACTAATGGAATGGGCTGAGAATGTCATGCAAATACATGCAGATCGGAAATCCGTTCTTGAGGTATCCCCCTACAAAATAAGATTCTATTAGAGGAAAAGTAACCACAGTTAGGAAACCAGTCAACCTTTATCTTCCAGTGCATGAAAACTGTCAGATAATGTGAAGAAGGATTTCTCTTATCTGTGAAGAGGCTTTCTTTTCTGGTAGAGCATATTTCAAAGAGGATGCTAGCCCAGCTTTTGAAGGTTCAGGATCTAGTACACTTGAATTAGCAGCAAACAATATTTTTGGTGGCAAAATCTGTTTGAAGACCACTAGTCTTATTTCTATTCTTTTTTTTTTTTTTTTTTTTTTTTTGGTACCAGGGATTGAATCCACTCAACCACTGAGCCATATATTCAATCCTTTTTATTTTGAGACAGGGTCTCACTAAGTTGCTGAGGCTGGCTTTGAACTTGCAATCCTCCTGCCTTAGCTGCCAAAATTGCTAGATTACAGGTATATGCCACCATGCCTAATTTGTCAATTTATTTAAAGATGGACTGAATAATAGTACTCAAAAGGATTTTTTAAAATATTTTTTTATTCTAGTTAGTTACCACATGACAAGAGAATGCATTTTTACACATCATACATAAATGGAGTATAACTTCTTATTTGTTTGTACATGATGTAGAGTTATACAGGTCATGTAATCATATATGCACATAGGGTAATAAAGTCTGGTTCATTCTACTATCATTTCTACGCCCATGCCCCTTTTCCTCCCTTCACTCCCCTCTGTCTAGTCCAAAATACCTTTATTCCCCCCACCACCACCTCTTATTGTGAATTAGCATCTGCATATCAGAGAAAACATTCAGTCTTTGGTTCTGTGTGATTGGTTTATTTTATTTAGCATAATATTCTCCAGTTCCATCCATTTACTGGCAAATGCCATAATTCCATTTTTCTTGAAGGCTGAGTAATAGTACATTATGTATATATACATTCCACAGTTTCTTTATCCATTCATCTGATGAAGGACACCTATGTTGGTTAGCTATTGTGAATTGAGCTGCTATGAACATTGATGTGGCTGTATCACTGTAGTATACTGATTTTAAGTCCTCTGGGTATTAATCTAGGAGTGGTATGACTGGGTCAAATGGTGGTACAAAGAACATTGAAGATGTCATAGCAAATGGCAATATGTAATCATATACTGAAGACATGCTATTGTAGACATTATTGATTATATCACTTACAGTATTCCTTATTTAAGGCACCATGGAACTTTTGACTCACACACCTATCATGACAAATATGACTTCATAACTTTCACTTTGCAAACAGATTTCCTTGGCATTATCTTATTCTTCCTATATTTATGTTCTTTCTCATCTAGATAATCCTCAATTATTTTTCTTTTTACTATGTGTTTTTATAAGAAGTTCCAAATCATTTTTGGAGCATGTAAAGTATGGACAAAACCCTTTAAAGTGGTTGCTGCTTCAAGTTATAAAGAAGTGGAAGAGTTTAGTGTTGAGTTTCACAAAGATACATGTAAAAAAATATACACCCTCATTTTCTTGAGCAAATTCCTTAATCTCTTTGAGGTTTGGTTTCCTTTGGTATAAAAGCAGATAATCATTCTGCAGAGTTGTTGTGACAAGTAATGTGTGAACAGTATTCAGCCCAGTGCTTAACAGTGTTATGTGTATAAATACCATACAACAAAGGCACTGTGCTTTTAGGAAAACTACAATAAAATCCCTGTGTTGCTTTTAATGTACACATTGCTTTTGTGAAGAAAGTATAATAGTGGATTAAATCTGACAAATTTTGGCAAGAATTGAATCACTTTAAAAAAATATATATTAGAGCTGGGCACAGTGGCACACTCCTATAATCCCAGCAGCTTGGGAGGCTGAGGCAGGAAGATCGCAAATTCAAAGCCAGCCATAGCAATTTAGCAAGGCCCTAAGTAACTTAGTGAAACCCTGTCTGAAAACAAAAAAGAAGGGGGATGTGGCACAGTGGTTAAGCACCCCAAATTTGGTTCAATCCCTAGCACCTAAATAAATAATACTTTTTATTTACAAACATTTCTTTGTTCACATTTTAGGTTGAATTTTTAGGAGAAGAAGGAACTGGTTTGGGACCCACATTAGAATTTTATGCTCTGGTGGCAGCAGAATTTCAGAGGACTGACCTGGGAGCGTGGCTTTGTGATGATAACTTTCCAGATGATGAGTCTCGTCATGTAAGATTTATTTCTCGTTTTGTGATGTAAATTGTGACTGTGCTTTAGAGAAGTGTTAGAAGCAGGTTAAATTTTCATTACATAAACTGGGGCTTTTGGCTCTACTTTTATTACTGAATAATCTTGACATTAATATTTATAAAGGAAAAAAATTTCGTCACTAAAAGCTATTCATAAAATGTGTATATATATGTTTAGATAACTAAATTCATGAAGATGTTTAATGTTTATGTATTTTTTTCTTAGATAACAATGACAGACTTAGTTACTTTTAGCCTTTAATTTTATTTGCATTTTGTCCTCTAAAAAATTAGGTTGATCTTGGAGGTGGATTGAAACCTCCTGGATACTATGTGCAGAGATCATGTGGACTGTTCACAGCACCGTTTCCACAAGATAGTGACGAACTTGAAAGGATCACAAAACTCTTTCATTTCCTTGGAATTTTCTTAGCCAAATGCATTCAAGACAATAGACTTGTGGACTTACCTATTTCTAAACCTTTCTTTAAACTTATGTGTATGGGTGACATTAAAAGCAATATGAGTAAACTGATTTATGAGTCACGAGGTGATAGAGACTTACACTGTACTGAAAGTCAGTCTGAAGCATCCACAGAAGAAGGTCATGATTCCCTCTCAGTAGGAAGCTTTGAAGAGGATTCAAAATCAGAATTTATTCTTGATCCCCCTAAGCCCAAACCTCCAGCTTGGTTTAATGGAATTTTGACTTGGGAAGACTTTGAACTAGTAAATCCACACAGAGCCAGATTTTTAAAAGAAATTAAAGACCTTGCTATCAAGAGACGCCAGATTTTAAGCAACAAAGGTCTGTCTGAAGATGAGAAGAACACAAAATTACAGGAACTAGTGCTGAAGAATCCAGCAGGTTCTGGGCCTCCACTTAGCATAGAGGATTTAGGGTAAGGTTTTTGTTACATTCTTCAGTGTGATGAATGAATAAGCTCTAAATCTTCTGTTTTTCTGTCCCATTTGATTTATAGTATATGGGTAAACAGTGTCAAAAACAGTAATATGCTATAGGAAATACTGATTATCAATTTGAATCTTTGATTTGTTAATAATATACAGATAATATTCAGAATACAGGTTGTTAATTATCAAATCTCGGGAAGATTATCTGACCTTTTTTTTTTTTTCCCGTGGTACTGGGGATTGAACCCCAGGGTGCTCTACCACTGAGCTATATCCCCACCCCTTTTTTGAGACAGGGTCTCTCTAATTTACTGAGACTGACCTTGAACTTCCAATCCTCCTACCTCGGCCTCCTGTGTAGCTGGGATTATAGGTGTTTACCACCATACCTATCAATTATCTGATTTTTTCAAATATGTTAAGTTTGTATATCTTGTGCAAAAAGTCCAAAGCCAACAGTATTTTGACAAATTCATCAGCTAATATAAATAATAGCCTACTTGGCAAAGCTTAAAAATAGTTTGGTTGGTATATAAGCCTTTATTACCAAAGGCTCTATCACTGACTCGGATGCTACAGAGCTTTTCATAAAGTTCTTTTAGCTTACATACATATAATGACCATTATCTTCAAGTATAGTCTCCTGTTTAGAGGTTGTCTACAAAACTTTTTATTTTAATTTTTTTGGTACTGGGGATTGAGCCCAGGAGTACTTAACCACCGAGCCATGTTCCCAGCCCTTTTTTATTTTGAGACAGGACCTTGCTAAGTTGCTGAGGCTGGCTTTGAGGTGTATACCATCACACCTTGCTTATTTTTTCTTTTTAATGTTTGCTGATAATATTGGGAAATTATGTTGGATAAATGGTTACACAATCATGTACTGCATAATAATGTTTCAGCCAGTGATGGACTATGTATGAGGGTGGTCCTATAAAGTTATAATGGAGCTGAAAATTCCTGCTACCTGGTATTTTTACTGCACCTTTTCTAGTTTAGATCCACTATTTAGCATTGTATTACCGCTGCCTACAATGTTCAGTACAGTAACATGATGTCCATGTTTGTAGCCTAGAAGCAAGAGGCTCTACCCTAGAGTCTAGGTGTATATTAGGCTATACCATCTAGGTTTGTGTATTTATATTCTATATTTGTACAACAAAAAATTGTCTAATGACACATTTCTCAGAATGTAGCCCCACTATTAAGTGATACATGACTGCATATTTGAGGATTGCTTCTTTTAAATACATTTTTATCTATTACAAACACAGTTTGAAAAGCTTTAGTGAAGCAATAGTCTTTCTGAAATAGTCTTATAAACATGTTGCTGCCATAATTAACTTCAAAAACATTTAGTCCATTAATTTTGTGCCATAAGGTCTATGTGAAATATGGAAAGGTAATGGTTTGATGCAGTCTTTGCAAAGCCAGGCAGGTGTGAGAATAGTTGGCCCACTAGTGAGTGGTTTTTTTTTTGGGGGGGGGGGTATCGGGAATTGAACCTAGGGGCATTTACCCATTGAGTGAGATCCCCAGTCCATTTTATGTTTTAAAACAGTATCTCACTAAGTTGCTTAAGGCCTCACCAAGTTGCAGAGGGTAGCATTGAACTTCGAGATCCTCCTGCCTCAACCTTCCAAGCAGCTGGGATTATAGGCATGAGTCACTTCTCCTAGCTAGCCCACTGGTTTTTGTGCATAAGATTTGCATTAAGTAGCTTAGTGCTTGCCTTGCATGCAAAAGGCCCTGGGTTTAACCCCCAGCATGGCTAAATAAATAAATCAGGCCTCATATCTAAGCTGGTGTATTGATTTTGTTGATAGAGTAGGGGCATTTGTGGTTGGGGCAGCAATTATAAAAATTAATCACCTGCAGTTGATGAATGTCAATTCATCTAATCCTTTTTGCTCTTTCAGTTTAAATTTCCAGTTTTGCCCTTCTTCAAGAATATATGGTTTTACAGCTGTGGATCTCAAGCCAAGTGGTGAAGATGAGGTAAAGATTTTATTCTTAATAGTTTTTCTATTCTCTTAACAAGATCAGTTGTACTAGGTGGTCCTAAAATAGTTCTAGATATTAACAATAATACTGGCAAATTTTCCTTTGCAGATGATAACAATGGATAATGCAGAAGAATATGTGGATTTGATGTTTGACTTTTGTATGCATACAGGTATTCAGAAACAGATGGAAGCCTTTAGAGGTAATTTTAAAGGATAATAATCTATTTCCTTTTACTTTAAGACAGTTGAAATTAAGATCAAGATGGCTAAACCTCTCTAGTTTCTTATCCAGATCATTAGATCCCACAGAGTTTATAGAATAGGCTGGAACATTTTCAAAGTGTAGAATGGTGTCATGCTTGCTCCTCTGAAGTAATGGAGATCCACTTTTGGCCATCATTTCTTCTTTTTGGTACCAGGGATTGAACCAAAGGGTGCCTACCCACTGAACCACATCCCCAGCCCCAGCCCTAGCCCTTTTTTTTTGGAGACAGCTGACCCTATCTTTGAACTTGTGATCCTCCTGCCTCACCCTCCCAAACTGCTGGGATTACAGGCATGCACCACCATGCCTGGCTTATTTCTTCCATTTCTAAGTAGACATCAGGTTCCATACTTTCTACATTACACAATGAGGATGATTTAAATCATGGAAGCCAAATTACTTTTGAAAATGTGAACACAGCTCTGGCCACTTAATGGGTAGTTAAAAGAATTTGGCTGTTGACCACTGCGGCCAGTCTCTAGCAATTTTTATTTCAATTAACATTTGTTTCCATCTTCTGCCCATTCAGTTGACAATAGAATATTTGTTTTGAAATTTGGTATTTTGGTCAGGCCCAGTTGTGGACACCTATAATCCCAGGGACTGGAGGGGGCCGGTAGCTGAGGCAGGAGGATTGCCAAGTTTGAGGCCAGCCTCAGCAATTAAGCAAGACCCTGTCTCGAAATAACAAATAATAATAAAAGAGGTTAGGGATGTAGATCAGTGATAAACTACCCTTGAATTTAATCCCCAGTACAAAAAAGAAAAGAAAAAAGAGAGGAAAAGATAGTTGGTATTTTGGTATCATGAGTTTTAGAAACTGAGCTGTTTTTTTGTGTGTATGTGTTTTTACTTATGTATAATGTAGATGGATTTAACAAAGTTTTTCCAATGGAGAAATTAAGTTCCTTCAGCCATGAAGAAGTCCAGATGATTCTTTGTGGAAATCAGTCACCATCCTGGGCAGCGGAGGATATTATCAATTACACTGAACCTAAGCTGGGCTATACACGTGACAGGTATGTGTTAATTTTTAATATCTACCAAACTGTTTATAAACAAAAATCATTAACTATAACTCAATGAATTATATTCATAAAAAAATGAGAAATTAATGAGGATGCCAAGATGCATATCCATTAATAAGTCTAGAAGACAGTTATACTATAAGACAATTGAATCATAAATGATATTAAAATTCCTTTTCTCATTGTGTTTTATTTGTTAATTATTTTAAAATTTGGGTAAATTGGAAATCCTTAGGCTGCATTATATGTATATATGTATACAGAGAAGAACACAAATTGTATATACAACTTAAGAGAATTTTCACAACATGAGTATACCTGGGAAATTGGTACCAAGGAAGAAACATCAATTCTTCTTTCCCACCATATTCTCTTGTAGTAATTAAGTCACTAAATTTGATTAATTTTGCTTCCTTTTCTACTTTGATAAACAAAATTATGTAGTCTATATTCTTTATGGTCTGGTTTCTTTTAACAATATGATTATGAAATTCATGTTGCGGCATATAGAGGTAGTTTATTGATAGGTAGTATTTCATCATGTAATCCATCACAAGGTTAATTGATCATTTTACTGGAATGAAAATGGAATATTTCAAGCCCCCTTTGACAAATTTATCCTTATTATGCAAGTACATCTGGAGCTTATCTGATTTGCTGACTTTGTTACAATTTTAATCTTACATTCCATCAGTGTTTCATTTCTTATGGTTTAAAAGTACAAGATAGCCTTTGAGGAACTGTCTTTGAGGTTTTAAAAGTAGCTTATATCAGCTCATTTAATACTTACTCAAAAGTCCTTTTTTTGTGTGTGTGGTACGGGGGATTGAATTTAGGGGTGCTCTTCTACTGGGCCTTATTCCTAGCCCTCTGACGCTGTCTTGTTAAGTTGTCAAGGCTGGCCTTGAACTTGTAATTCTCCTACCTCAGCCTCCCAAGTAGTATTCTTCGGACAAGTGGATTTTTGGTGTGTGTGTGCGTGGTGCGGGGGGTAAGTTATTGCTGGTTTATAAAGTAATGGTAGTGTTTTTCATTTATATCTGCTAGCAAATCAATAAAACTATACTTTTGTTCTTTTAGCCCTGGTTTCCTGAGGTTTGTGAGGGTTTTATGTGGCATGTCTTCAGATGAGAGGAAAGCATTCCTGCAGTTTACTACTGGTTGTTCAACTTTGCCCCCAGGTGGACTGGCAAATCTGCATCCCAGGCTCACAGTTGTGCGCAAGGTACAAAAACTCTAACTAGTGGGGAATCCAAGTGGAATTTAGTTACATTATGATTGAAGGGGAGAAAAAATATTTAAGCCTATGATCTTCTGTTATTTTTACTTTCTTTTTGTAGGTTGATGCTACTGATGCAAGCTATCCATCAGTCAATACATGTGTGCATTATCTTAAGTTGCCTGAATATTCTTCAGAGGAGATCATGAGAGAACGCTTGCTAGCTGCTACAATGGAGAAAGGCTTTCATCTCAATTGAGTTTGAAGTGCAATGGGAGACATCAGAGACTTTAAAAATACTAGTGAAGCCTCTTGTGTTTGTGTGCAGAGAAGTGTATGATCCTCCACGCTAATGACATTTGCCTTTGTTTCCACCATTAAGGCTTTAAGAACATGTGGAATAAGTTTGTTAGCTGCTAATGATAAAACCAATCCTTTAACAACTCAGCCAGCAAGTATATAGCACAGAACACTGTGTTGCTTTACAAGGGCTTCTGTGACTGGAGTAAGGTGGTCCTACTTGACTGTTCCAAAGAGCAGCTTCTCAGATCTTCAGTGTTCACTGGTAAATTTCTAACGGTGTATTTGTGTAAAGTTTGTCATTTCATACCCCACACACTACAGTTGCCATCACTGATCTGTTTTGCTGGCTTTTAAGCTACTTTTGGTCAAAAATCCTGCTTCCTTAAAACACAGAGTTAATGAGCATCTCAAGCTTTTTCTTTTCCTTTTTAATGATGCCTGCACTATCAGAGTATTCTAGTGTTCTCTCTTTTTGTTTGGCATATAATCATGCACAACCTTTTTATTTCTTTGAGGTGGGAGTATATTTTTATTTCCTAAATGCCATACTATAAAGATCAAATTCTTAAATGAGTATGTGCAGCTCAAAAATAAAAATATATTAAGGGGGGAAAACACTGGTCTTAGGTGCAAGGCACACTTAAAGCAAGTTTTATGTTTGGTTGTATTTTCTTTGTATATTATAAACATTTATTTAACATGTTGCAGTTTGAAGTAAAAAATTTCCAAAATGTATGCTCAACAATAATCATTAAAATGTTTGCAGCGTACAAAACTGTGTCATGACTATTTCACTTCAGTCATCAGACCTAAGAACTTAACTAGATACTGTCATTTTGAATCATTCAAATTCAGTTTTCTGAAATTACTACATGAAAAAAAAATTACTTTTCTATAATAAATATACTTACTGAACTTGAAAGATTGGAAGAAATTTTCACATATTTGTGACCTTACCGTTTTGTTGTCTTAAGGTATTCTTCAACTAGAAATGGCCAGTTATTTGTGTTACCTTTTTAAATTAGCAGATCTGCTATTCACCTGTGGAAGTCTAAAATCAATGATTTTTAAATGTTGTGTCAGTACAAAAAGAAATAACCAGTATATTGCTATTTCTTGGTTTTAGAGAAGGGGCTATATTTCCATTTTCTACACTCCTATTATTATCTGTGCATATTGGTGAAAGAAATGTCACTAGGCCTGATTCTTCCAAAGAGCCTTTGTTTTAAGGCACTAAATGCATGTTTGAAATAACCCAATATTTACTTTTTAAAAGGTACATTACCTTTCTACATTAGAAGACATAGTTCCTTCTATAGTTAATGATTTTGGTAGTCATCTTTCAGTATCCTCGGAGGATTGGTTACAGAACATCTCATGGATATCACAATCTGAGCATGCTCAAATATATTACATAAAGTGATGTAGTCCTTGCATATCACATGCACTTCCTCTTGTATATTTTAAATCATCTGTAGATTACTTATAATAACCTAATACAGTGTAAATGCTATATAAACATTTGTTATTGATAAGAAAAACAATCTACATGTTCTGTAGATTATAGGCATATTTTTTATCCCCCTAATAATGTCACTCACTGTTGGTTGAATCCACAGATATGAAACCAATGGATTTGAAGGGCCAACCATATTGTTTTTATTTGCTGCATGAGAATATTGTGATTGTATAATCAGAGGCAACATTTAAAATATTTCATCTCAATGTCAGCTTCACAGATCCCTGTGAGTCTAAAAGTTAAAAGTATAATAGCAATACTTAAATGTATAACCTGTTTCAGTCCAAAAAGTAGTGGTGGTAGTTTATTCAATAAATTCTTGAATACATGACTAAACCTTTATACTAGGGTTAGAATTGACATCCAGCTTATGTGTGTAGTATTGCCGTTATTTAAGTATCTAAAATATCTGTTAATTGTCAACTTTTACTAATATTGGCCTGGCAAAGGGGTTGGTAAACTATGCCTGCCACCCATTTTTATATGGCCTGAGAACCATGTAACCATGAGGGGGTTTTTTAAATTTTTTAATTGGTTGAAGAAAACTAATGAGTATTTTATGATATGAAAATTATATGAAACTTAAATTTCAGCATAGGTTTTATTAGAGCACATATTCATTCATTTATATTCTACTTATGCTTGCTTTTGTACATAACATTAGAGTGGTGTAGTTAGCACAGACCATATGGCTCACAAAGCCTAAAATGTTTACTGTGTGTCCTTTTACAAGTTTGCTGAGCCCTAGTCTAGCAAGTTGCTACTGTAGGTAAATTGATGAGTCTTATAAAATCAGAACTGTTTACTAAATATTTTATGTGTGAAAAATGAAAGTATCTTACTGAAGTGAGATGATTTCACAGCCTATAGGTAAAATAGTCACATTACAGTTTATTTTCAATGAGTCAAGTATTGTGAGGATCATCTACTAGGGTCTCCACATACACCATGTTATTAAATATTTTTTCCTGTGATATCTACCTAATATTTTTTAAGCTTATTATTCTCTTAAGGTGCTAAAATCTGTGCCAAGATGTAATTCCACTACTATTTTGGTGTGACCCAAAAATTAATTTTGTTCACTCCCTAGCTGCTTCTGGTGTACCAGTTTCGCACTTATCTGAATGTGCTGCTGATTAAATGCTTACCAACTAGGACAGTGTTTCCCAACTAATGTCTCAGAAAGACCTCCAAAGCACTTACATTGATGTAGACGGGCTTTCCTCAGACAGTGGCAACTTAATACAAAGCTGTATCTTTACACACCTACAGCTAGCTTATTGTTCCCACACTCCATAAGCTTTCCCTCTGCCTTCTTGATGAGTCCACAGCAACTCAGGTTTGCCTTGGGAATCCACTGTGGCTAGTTTTCTGGGTCTTTGTAGATGAAAACTGAAATATGTACATAGACTTTTGGAAAAGCCTCCTCATTCCCTCCTCAGACATACACAAAAGAGAATAGCAGTGTTGCATAGTTAGTCCCTAGAATGTTCATTTATGTCCTATTCTGGAGAACTGAGTGTTGTAGTTGAAAGAACTCTTAAAACATTACATAGGAAGATATTTTAATGTCTGTCTCTCTATCCTCCTCCATTGCACCTGTACTCCCACTCCTAAGTGTATATATAAATACTTTTAACAACGACAGTTCAGTATTTTTCACTGTTGCCTCAGTGGTGAAAGCACATCAAAAGGTTTTTGGAGATATAGGACGTTGTTCTATAGGACTTCATATTTTGCTTCTGAGATATCCTAGGAGGAGCTAAAGGAATAAGAAGTCATTTTATTCCAAACTGAGCAGAGCTATTCTCTTGCATTTTATTTTTAAACTTTGAACTAAAACAAATTTCATTAACAAGCTTATTTGTAAGAAAAACCCTTTAAAATGTGGTATAAATGATATTTGTAAGGGTTCTCTTCTAATGTTTTATTTGATAGTAACATTACAGAGTTAATCATATGATGGCATTGTAATTGCTAACTGCCCTAGAAATGGAATCAAAGGCTTTTACGAACTGGAAAATAAAATTTAATTCTATAATCTTCTTTAGGTATGTATTATAGTAATATTTATTAAAAAGTAATTTTTATTAAGTTTTTTTTTTTTTAAGGAAAACAAGAACATCTAGAAGACTGTTTTAAATCAAAATGCCACATGTTTAAGTCAACTTACAAATTTTATTGGCTAATAGACAACTGCCACACATTCTTCTTACCACCATCCTACTATTCCTGAATTTAATTTGCAAAGGGAAGCAGAGACCAAAGAGGATTTCTTAGGTACTCAATAAAATTTGAAGAAGTGGGAAAAAAAATATACTTACAGTTACTGAAAATAAAACTTGCCTCAGTTAAGAGAAGATTTTTCTTTGTACATGTTTTAAAATAGCTTTATTTTCCATTTAGGAACTGTGGGAAATACCTATTTATATTGTTTGGAAGGGTACCCCATTTCGTAATAGGTAGTCTTCCATATTCTTTTCAAATGGTCTTCACATTTCCTATGAATTGATGCTATCTGGCAGAGCCTTCTCTTCAGCTTTCTGACATCTTATCAAGAATTTGTAGAGGGGCAAGAATTCTTGCCCGATTAGTTTCCACAATGCAGCCATTTAACACCATCTCGTCCAAAATGATGTGTACTTTATCCAAATTAAACATTATCTAGGGTCATATTAAGGAAATTAATTTTAGAGTTATATGTCAACATTTAATAAATAATAAGTTGTAGCTTAGCTTCGAATTTCCCCAATCTAAAATAATCTTAGCATGAGGGTTTTTGTAGATAATTTCTGAAATTAAAATTGGTATCCAGAACTGGGGCTCTAGCTCAGTGGCAGAGTGCTTGCCTAGCACATGGGAGGCACTAGATTCGATCCTCAGCACCACATAAAAATAAATAAAATAAAGGGATTTTGTCCATCTACAACTACAAAAAAAAAGAATTATAAAAAATAATAAAATTGGTATTTGAAATTATTATGTTGGTATACACATAACTAAGCTAATAGGTTAAATTAGGCATAGAAATGTAACAACTACATTTTTTAACCAAAGGGAGAAAACCTATTAAGAGCTGGAGAACAAAAGCAAGTAGCATTTGCCAAGAGAATAAATAACCTCACCTCAGGAGCAAAATCTTCTGGGACAGTAATAACAACAATAGCAATGATCTGTTAAATATTCGTTATGTTCCAGGCATTATGTTGAGTGCTTTTCATATATTAATATAGTCTCATTTTATCTAGGAGCAAACAGCTTAAAGCCATTGTCCAAAGTCATACAAGTGGTATATGTCAAGAGTTGGAATTTAGGCCCAGAGTTTGGACTTAACTGCTCTGCTTTTCAGGCTTCTCAGGAAGGGCCTAAGGCTTTGGAGTAGACACCCTCCCTCAGATCCCTCTCCATCTCTACCCCAATCAGTGTCTTTATAGCAAAGTAGAAAGAGATTATTCTCTCAAGAATCCCCTTCATTTGAGTACTTACCTTTTCTTTCATGAAAGGAGAAGGGAAACTGGAGTGAGATAGTGGCAATAGTTGAATGTTCCTGAATTTTATACTTTAATTAATTATTTTATTGTTTTTTGTACAGGGATTGAACCCAGGGGTGCTTTACTACTGAGCCTATATCCTTTTTGGCCCTTTTTATCTTGAGACAGGGTCTCACTAAGTTGAAAATCTTGCTAAGTTGCAGAGGCTAGACTTGAACTTGCTATCCTTCTGCCTCAGCCTAAGGAATCCTTGGGATTATAGGCATGCATCCTCATGCCCAGTCAGTTTTACACTTTAATATGTGGTGTTTCCACTTTAAAGACATCTATTTATGAGAAAAAAATAAAGCTTGTTTCAAATAGACATACTTCAGCAAAGAAGTGATTAAATACACTAGGGGAGTTCATAATTGAATGGTGAATCTTAGAACAAATCCTTATTGTAGGAATGTTATTTTCCATAACCCTTCAGTTATCACCTGATTTTTATTTTTTTAAACAATTCCAGATGTTCAAAGTGACATTTGCTTAGTGAAGTACATCTACAAAGAATGGGACAAACCAAACTGTGAATGACTTAGGTTTCTATTAGACTCTGTTAATATCTCATTAAGCTTTGTATAAATAGTCTTTATTAGAATTAACTTTTTCAAGAGTTGATGGGAACTATCCTTAAGTGACCCAGTGGGGGGAAAAAAAAAGGTTTACTCTAATCTACCTATTAATAATGTCTTCCAATTATATAGTTGATTGCTTTTCCCACGGCCAAACTGGGACTGGAATGAATGCTAGGCCCTTGACTCAAACCTGTTCACCAGATCCAGAAGCCAGAATGTACAAGCTGAGACAAAGTGGGAATGATAGCCAGGTAAATGTTTTTTTTTAAAAAGCAGTTGAGCCAGACATAGTGGCTCATAGGGCCTATAATCCCAGCTACTCTGGAAGCTGAGGCAGGAGGATCCAAGTTCCAGGCCAGCCACTGTAATTTAGTGAGACCCTGTCTCAAAAAAGGTCTGGAAATGTAGCTCAGTGGAAGAGGACTTGTCTAGCATACCAAAGGCCCTGGGTTCAATCCCCAGTATAGGACTGGGAAGGAGGCAGAGACTGAAAAGCACAGGCGGCTGCCTAAATAAAGGTATACAGAATCCCCTGTTGTATTCACTGAGGGCAATTATAGTGCCTTTGAAAATGGCAACTTTTCCAAAATGATTTTCTTTTGAGTTTGAAAGAAATCTAATTTTAATCTGTTTGAATTGGTTCAGGGATCAACCTGCTCTGAGGACTGTTCCATTTTTGGTAAGAAGATGTGCAGTTCAGATGTCACCTTGGGCAAATGCCCAATTGTTTTGAAATTCAGATCAGAATTTACTTACTGCTGAATCATATCAACCACTCACAGCCCCACACTCTAAGGACAAAGTCTTTCAGCCAAGTCTGAATTTCCCAACATTCTAGAAACATGAGTTACTCTGAGATCATACTGTGGGCATGTGATTGCCTGTCTACCTGTGTATCTAGTTCAAACCCTAGTAATCATGTAGCTGCTGGCACCGAATGGGGGAAACCAGACCAAATCCAATGTGAGCAGAAGACCTGGAAGCTGATTTCCTCCCTGGAATCATGTTACTCCTTTAAAATAAGGATCCGGCTGTTGTTCACATCTTGATTTGGTTTATGAGCAACTTGTGCACACTGGTAAAGCCAATATTAATGGCATTTGGGCCATATGCCAGGTGAGCAAGGACCAAAAAATACCCTATATGCCAAGCCCCATGGCAATAAATACACAAACACATTTCAACTCTGACATTTGGAATAGGAGGAGGCAAGAAAGGCCTAGACTGTGGGTCTCTTAATGTAGTGAGCTGAGAAGGACTATTGAAGGAGAAACTTACCTTCAGGCTATATTGAACTTGACTAACTCTAAAGATTCTTAAGGAAACTCCTTTCTTTCATAGGCTTCAAGGACCTGGCATGAACTAGAAACAGCTTCCTAAAGAGCACAGTTATTAACGTCACACTTTCTCTCAACCTTGAAACCTAAGAGCCTTTCTGAATTTCTATGTAATGTGGATTAGAGCTGAACATTTATAGAGTTCCTGTAAGATTAGTGCTACTTTAAATGACCTTTTTTAAAATAAATTGTTTTAGTTTTAGATGGACCCAATACCTTTATTTATTTATATGTGGTCCTGAGGGTGAAACCCAGTGCCTCACACATGCAAAGCAAGCGTTCTACCACTGAGCCACAACCCCAGCCCCTTGAAATCAGCTTTTTAATTAAAGCGATTGAATTCTTTATAGGCCTTACCTTGGAATTGGGATCTCTGGATCATAAAACACTTTTCTCAACATGGTACTTTAATACCGTGTTGGTCTAGTTATCCTTTAATTAAAAGTGAGAAAACTCATTCCACTGCCTTTCCTACCCCCCACACTCCCTCCCTTCTCCTCCCTCCCCTTTGCCCTATTTAGAGTTCATCTATTCCTCCCATGCTCCCTGCCCCATCCCCATTATGAATCAGCATCCTTATAGCAGAGAAAACATTTGGCATTAGGTTTTTTGGGATTGGCTTACTTCACTTAACATTATATTTTCCAACTCCATCTATTTACCTGCAAATGCCATGATGTTTTCTCTTTTAATGCTGAGGAATATTCCATATATATATATATATATATATATATATATATATACACACACACACACACACACACATATACATACATACACACACATACACACACAAAAATATATCACATTTTCTTTATCCATTCATCTACTAAAGGACATCTAGGTTGGTTCCGCAGTTCAGCTATTGTGAATTGTGCTGCTATAAACATTGAGGTGCTTAACCACTGAGCCCCATCCCCAGCCCTTTTTATTTTGAGACAGTCTTGCTAAGTGGCTTAGGGCCTCCCTAAGTTGCTGAGGTTGGCTTTGAATTTGCAATCCTCCTGCTTCGGCCTCCCAGTTGCTAGGATTACAAGCATGCGCCACCATGCCTGGCTAAGACATACTTTTTTTTTTTTTAATATTTTATTAGTTATTGATGGATATTTATTTATTTATTGTGCTAAGACTCAAACCCAGTGCCTCACACATGCTAGGCAAGTTCTATACCACTGAGCCACAACCCCAGCACCTAAGACATTCACAGATACTTTAAGATTGTTCATTTTTTATTTTTTTAATATCAGATATTGAACCCAGGGGCACTTAAGCACTGAGCCTCATCCCCAGCTATCCTGTTTCAGCGTCCCAAACTGCTGGGATTATAGGCGTGTGCCACTATACCTGGCAAGATTATTCATCTTTTTGACTCCTCTAACTAAAGACAAACATGCTTCTCTAAAACTTTTCTCTTACTCACAAAGCTTTGACAACACCAAGACTACTAGCAACAGGCATTTTAAAATGTTTCCTTAGAGACTAAATTTTCACAGTCCACAGATGATTAGTAATTTTTTTTTAAAGTATCAAATTTAGCTAGGCATAGTGATACCTCAGCACTCTGGAGGCTGAGGAGGGAGGATCACTTGAGCCCAGAAGTTCAAGACAGCCTGAGCAATACAGGGAGACCATCCCCCGCTCCCCGCCCCCCCCCCTCAGAAAACAACTTTACTGAATTTATAACCCTTGAGTCAAGCACTCGGGAAACCTAGAGGCAGTTGCAACTCTGCCATACAGTAACTGTCTGGACTGAGGACATGAGAACCTCTTCCTCTAAAAAGCAAGGTTTAACATAATTGTGTGTTCTTTCAACTCCAAAATACTCAGCTCCTGACTCTAACCTTTGAAGGAGAGGACTGTCCTTTCTGGTAATACCAACCCATTCTTGAAGTAGTTATATGCTGTAGCATACGTCAAAAGAAATCCTTTTGTAGTCACTTCATTAACTGATTATCAATTTAACTTTCTAAGAGAACATGTAGAGAATTTCAGTTCAGTGAGAAGCTGTCCTCTCAGTATGGGATGGCTTCCTTGAAGAATGTTTTGTTCTTTTGGCTTTCATTTCTGTTGCTCCTAGTTTGAACAAGTACTTTTGCAATTTCTCATTAAATTAGGCTGAGATTATCTCCAATGGAGAGAAGCTTCATTCTGGTTTCTGGACCTCTAAAGGTATGTAAGACTTTAGGAAGTCCTGATCAGCACCTACTTGAAAGTCTTGGTGGTGCCAATCACTGCTGCCTTCATGCCACCCCTTCAAGAAACATCTTGCTAGATGCTGGCTGAGGCATGGGGCATAGAGCACTGAGACCCTTCCCTATACCTTGACCCGCAGCAGCCATAAACAGAGGATGAAGCAGGCTGCTTTCATATTACCCATAGGAGCTTTAGGGTTCTAGAATCAATCACCTTTCGGGATTTATAAAATAAAAACAAACATTCAAAAGGGTTTTCAGACAAGAATACATTGTGGCATTGTACAGTGGCACATGCCTGTAATTCCAGCAACTTGAAAGGTAGCTAGCTCAGTAACTTAGTGAGAATCTGTCTCAAAAAATAAAAAGGGCTGGGGATGTAGCTCAATGGTAAAGCACCCCTGAGTTCAATCCCTAGTACCCCTCCCTCCAAAAAAAGAATACATTGTGGATTCTAGGCCTAGCTTATATTTGTTTAGTAGAGGGGACACAACAGCATGCATAGGGATGCTAGTGCTTCTCTTCCCATGCATGTATGGGACATCCCAATTACCCTGCCTGAGTACTGCTTTTTTATTCTTGCTCCCAGTCCTGGGGTGGATTTGGGAGAAATGCCTCCATAGGCCCTACTAGCAGGCTCTGGAATGTCTGGCACCTGAAAAGCCAGAAAGTGGAGGGGGAAGGCCTTTAGGATTCAGGTCAGCATCCTTGTGCCATGGGACCATGAGTAGGGAGGATTGGGGTTGCTGCTGAAGCAGAGCAGAATGGGACCCAAGAAAAAGACTGGTTGTCCAGGTCAGAAGGCATATAAATGTGTTCCATTACAGCCAAAATAAAACAAGTGTTTCAGCCTCTTTTTTCTTTTTTTTTTTTTTTTTCAGCCTCTTTAAAGGCAGCAAATACCAAAAAGGCTGTTGAGGTTTTCTGTACCTTCATGTATACAATAGATGATTACCAAATTGAGGAGGTGTTGGTACATCTCGCAGACAGTGCTGGTCACTGGTGCCATCCTCTGACCATGGAGCAGAGGGGAAGGCAGGCCATTCCTTTCAGTTTGAATTACCTGGAGAAAAGCAAGCCTTCTGGGAATCCAGAGCAGGCATACGGGGGAGTCTCATCAGTTGGTTCTTAAACAAATCAATCTTAGTTCATGAAATTTGAAGTCTTGAAAAAGTCTACCAAGCTATGAGATGGGGTGAACTTTCCTATAGAAATGAGGCCTCCTGAGTCCTCAGGCAGCATTTCAGTCCAGTGCAGGGAAGGGACTTTGAAGAGTACAGGAGCCTGTTCACAGTTGTGAATGATTTAGGTCACTGCTGTGCCTGGTCCCCAGGGGGCAATCTGCCCCACCTGACACTATGCACCAGAGGGTTTCACTTACTGGGATGGGAGGGTTTTCAACAAGTCAGATTTTCTGTCCTGGTTTTTTGTGTTTGGGTCATTTCTTTTTTAAATCCCATCTGTCTTGCTCTGTAATGTTAGTTTTACTAGAATTAGAACAGGCCTATACTAGAGAGAAATGCAAATAGTGTATTCTATTTATTTCTCAAAGTCCAACCTTGTGGGCTCTGAGAAACTTCCCCATCCTTTAAAAGCATCAGGATGGAAAAGCTTCTGTGGGAATGGGAAGGACAGTTAAAAGAGACAGACATTATTACCCTAAATGCATGCATGACTGACTACATGACTGGAGTGACTCTGAACCATGTACGGCCAGAGGAATGAGAAGTTGTGCTCCATTTGTGTACCATATGTCAAAATGCATTCTACTGGAAAATAAATCAATAAATTAAAAAAAAAAAAAAAAGAAGAAAACTTCTGGAGAAAAAAACTGAATAAGTGGCGCCTTGGGACTTTCATGAGGTTTTCACTTCCCTCTCCTCTTGCTGTACCAAACCAAGCCTTAAATCATGGCTGCCCTAGGTGTGCTGACAAGGAAGTCTTTCTGAAGGCTGAGCAAACAGAGATTATGTGCTCTGTATATTGGGAAAACCAGCTCCTGATTGCAATTATGATAGTTACTTGTTTTCATCTTTCAATCCCAAAGTCTGGCAGAGCAGACCTGAACAATGCTAGCTGCTCCAGTATGTCCTGCTTACATGCTAAAGAAAGATGATACAAAATGTATGACTCTAACTGGAGGGAACAGGAAACTATAGTTGAGGCTCTAAAAGGTTCCCCTCTATTTCTGTTATGGACTGGTCTGTAGAAGTTCTCCTGGACAAAAGAACTATGTAGCAAGCAGAGGAAAGTCATGGGTTTTGGATTTTTTTTTTCATAAGGCTAAAGGTGACAACCTTTTATAAATGTCACAGAAGAGAGGTGTGTATGTAATATAAAATAAATATAAAACTTGGTCAGAGAGAAAGGGAGGGCAAAAATAAAACCATGTAAAATGAAAGGGAAAGATACAAATTATGTGTCTTGGTAGGGAAATTAAATTCAAACTAGAATGCTAGAGGTCATTACACATATATGTGTCAGATAAGAGCAGGATACAAAGACAAGTACACCTATTTCTACTTCCAATAAAAATCCAGTTAATGTCTGACACATCAGTACAACTAATCCAACTATACTATATACTCTGTTACATCTGATTCACTTTAATTTTCTGGGTTTCTAGACTTATAAGACTTCCTGCTGTAGGTGTGAGGTTATTTAGCTCATTTACCTGGACTCATGGAGATTCCAACTGAGAGGGCTGCTAAAGCTCTTCTGTATAGTTCTCTCATTTTGAGATGAGGGGTTGTGTGCCTTGTCCAATACATATAGTTACTTAATGGATATTGAGTTTCTGCACTCCTAACAAAGTGCCTATTAGCCCTAGCCATCTTCCTGATTTTTAAATCTAAAGCCTTTTTTCCCCTAACTTCTTTGTACAAGTAGGAAAATATTTATCTTGAATTGCTTTAAACAATCTAGTTAAGATACAGTGTTACTCGGCTGGGATTGTGGCTCAGTGGTAGAGCACTTGCCTAGCATGTGTGAGGCACTGGGTTCTATACTCAGCACAGCATATAAATAAATGAATAAAATAAAGGTCCATCAACATCTAAAAAAAGTTTTGTTTTTTTTTTTAAAAAAGAGTTTATATGCTGAATAAAAATATGGACATATTTCCTGGTCTTGGGTCTCCTAGGTCAAAGGGATGGTAGATTTAGGTCACTTACCACCAGAGGGCACTTAGTTTTTCCCAGTTAAAGAAGCTTCCAAATTCTGCCTGTAAATGTATTTTATCAACAGGGTATTTCCTATCATCATAACAGGTAAATGGTCATTCCCCAGAATATCAAGTTGATGTAAACATACTGGTTCTTGGGCTGGGGATGTGGCTCAAGCGGTAGCGCGCTCGCCTGGCATGCGTGCGGCCCGGGTTCGATCCTCAGCACCACATACAAACAAAGATGTAGTGTCCGCCAAATACTAAAAAATAAATATTAAAATTCTCTCTCTCTCTACCTATCTCTCACTCTCTCTTTAAAAAAAAAAAATACTGGTTCTTGGCATAGGTGTCTAATTTATATATAGAGACAAACATATGAATGTATGTATACACATAAACATTAATTATAATTAATATATATTTGTTATGTACTAAATATATTTTAGTAGATATTTATCACAATTAGTGTTACTATTTTAGATTCAAGCTTGATGGATTTTCAAAGGACTTCTTTATCCCTTTACAGATTGTTTGAAGAAAAATTAAATTAAAAGTCAATATTCCTGGGTAGGGGTTATGGCTGAGTGGTAGAGTGCTTGCCTTGCATGTGTCAGGCACTGGGTTCAATTCTCAGCACCACATATGAATAAAATAAAGGCCCATCAACCAACTAAAAAATATTTTTTAAAAAAGTCAATATTCCTGTAGAGCACTCACACAAAGCCTAGTGGGTTTCTGCCAAAATCTGTAGGCCTACAGTATTCTAAGCAATATTTGTTCTTGGGGGTCCTTAAGCATTTTTGTTTTAAAAGAAAGAAAAGGAGAACTTTATCTGCTATAAAAGGAATACAAGCCAGGCAATTTCTTTAACCCTTTAGTTTATCAACCCTGAAGGCCTTCTTCTGATCATGAGGGGATTTCTAGAGATTTATACCTGCATCCCTGAAAACCCATTCTCTCTCTCCGAAGATGAAGCCCCTTCTGGCTGTTATATTCATTTTGAACAAGCCTATTCCATGTGCTTAAAAGAAGTTACTATATAATAGTTATTATTAACAAATGCCATAACATTGCCCTGTCTGGGGGAAAAAAAAGAGTCTTAAAAAAATTGTCTGTAAAAAAGGCTGTGGTAGGATTATGTGAAACACCTGCACCTCTGGCTGTCCTATCAGTTGCTGATGACAGACATTCTGGAATCTGTTGAACCGTTTTCCTGCCCCATGGCACTTCTGCTTTGCCAAATACTGTGGAAAACAGTATTGAAAAAGGATACATCTAGTTCACTCTGGAAAAGAGAAAAAGAATGCACAGGTAAGAAGGACACACAGGGACTGGACACTCTGAGCACAGGCAGCAACTGCTCTGCCTCAAGCCTAACAGCAGCAGGAGAGGCTGCTGCTGTGTATACAGAAGCCTAAGCAAGAGCATGAGCCCTGACTTGGGTACTGCAGCTAAAAACAAACAAACAAACAAAAAATGCAGGCTAGAAGAATTTTTGAGGGCAGAATAATTCATCTTCAGAAAATACAGGACATAAACTGAGCACAGTGGCACACACCTGTAATCCCAGCAACTTGGGAGGCTGAGGTAGGAGGATCACAAGTTCAAGGCCAGCCTTGGCAACTTAGGAAAACCCAGTCTCAAAATAAAATAAAAAGGCCTGGGGGTGTAGCTCAGTAGTAGAACACCCTTAGGTTCAATCCCCTGTACCACCAAGAAAAAAAAAAAAATCAAGGGAATAATCAACTAACTCAACCTTTACAGATGGTAGGTAATTTGATATGTGTATCAGAAACCTCAGCAATGTGCTATACCCTTTGAATCCATTGATTTTACTTATACACATCTATCCTAAGGAAACAATCAGACAATGGTATGTGATATGATATTCACAGTGAGGCTGGTAAGTGTCTATTAAGGTGAAAAAATTGTGTCTGTACTGAACAAGTACAAACTTTTATCCTCCTGTCATTAATAAAATGATTAAAACTATTTACATAGCATCAATTTGTACTGGGTATTATAAGTAATCTAGAGATGATTAAAAGTATGTGAGAGGATAGGCACAGATTACATGCAAACACCAAGCCATTTAATATAAGGAACTTGAACATCTGGGGATTTGAGAATCCATCAGGGTAGGATTTGTCCTGGAACAAATGCCCCACAGATACTGAGGGATGATATATGACTTGCACATATGTATGTAGAGATGCATGTTCTAGAGATACAGACAGATATATAAAGTCTAAGAGGAAATGTTCTTAGCAGCATTTATCACTAAGTGATGGCTTACTGATACTCCTTCCCCCACTTTAAAAAAATGCTTAATTTTTTTAGAGTAGCAGAGATATCCAATGTATATATACCCTGCCTTCACACACGCATGAATGTTGTGTCACCCTGTCACCAGAGAAGTGTCTTTGTTACAACTGATGAGCCAACCTGGACACATCACTGCTGTGCTGTGCAGAGTCAACAGTTCAAATTAGGGTTCACTCTGGTGTTGTACAGTCTGTTTCTGGACAAATGTATAATGGCATGTAGCCACCCTCCTCTTTCATTCTACTTGTATGTATTTAAATTTTTTTTCAATCAAAATAGATATTTATATAATGAAAAAGTCTCAGAGGGTGAAAGGACTTCAGGTCTCTCAAATGTGGCATTGAAACCCCTGCTACATTTTCCTCAATAGCAATAGCCCTCACCTCTGTGGAAGTGCCTTCTTTGAAGTTAATTGGTTTGGCTTTTGGTTCTTAAAATGTGATGCCGAGATGCTGCTTTCAGCCGAGACAGCATGAGACAGACCTCTAAAATTTAAAATCTGGAAACTCTTCTAAGATGAAAAATATCCTCAGAAAGCATGTTTAAAATGCACAAACCTAAAAATAAATCTTAGATGACAAAGCACTCTCGATGAGTGGGACAGATCCTGTTTTCTTTCCTATTAGTACTCTCCTCTCTTCCTCTTCTTTTTGGTATGGTTTCATCCTAAACTAGGTCATCCCTAGTGCAGTCCAAGTCCTGCATAATTGCCTAGCCTAAAGTAAATTTTAATCTTTACTTCTGTGGTTTATGTGGTCACTGACTCTCTCTCCCTAAAATTATAGCTATAATTCAACAATGTGCTATTTATTTTTAGTTACTGAATATAATAATAATATTTTTTTTAAAAAAACAATGATAGTGCTTGTACTCACTTTTTATTTTCCCAAGTTAAAGACATTGTTGTTTTCAGAAATTATAATCTTCTTGGTGTGTGTTAACTTAAAATAGCTAATCATTGCCAGCCCAGAATCACAGACCCTGACTAGCAACAAGTCTAGCTTAACATGAGAGTGGTCACCAGGAGATAAGTAGGAGGTAGAGCTATACTGTTCAATATGGTAACCACTGTGCTAATGTGGTGATTTAAATTTAAATTAGTTACAGTTAACTAGCACTTAAATTTCAATTCCTCAGTTACACTAACCACATTTCAAGTATTAAAAGCCACACACGGCTAGTGCCTACCATACTAGGTTGCATGGATATAACCATACTAGGTTGCATGGATATAGAACATTTGTGATATTGCAGAAGGTTTTATGGACAGTGCTGGTCTGTGGTACTGTCTCCAAGCAATCAACAGAGAGATATTTTTAAAGCTAGTCCCAATGCTGTCTGTTCCCTAAGGGCCTGTCTTGGGAATGGCCTGACCTCTTGACCTCTTCAGCTTTGCAGGGCACCAATCCCTTCCTGGACAGATGTCCTGTCTCACTGCTGGCCACTATCTTCTCAGCTTCACTCCCTGAATTAGGAAATCGCTGACAGCAAACTTCAGGAACTAAAGTAATGGTTCAAAAACTTGAACATGCATCAGAATGAGGGGGCCTCCACCCAGAGTTTCTGATTCAGTGGTCTGAAGTGGGCTCAGGATTTGTATTTCTAATCGTTTCCAGTACTTGCTGCGGCGCCAGGAACCAGACTTTGAGAACTACCACTCCAAGGCAACAAAGACTAGCTAGTTGATTGGCCCGTGAAGATGTTTGCCAGAATTCAATGCTGGCCTTAGGAGTTTGACTGAAGATATAACTTCTGAATGAGTTTTGCCTTTTGCAGGTTTTGGTGTACTCAATATTATTAATTATGGATTCGACTCCACTATTGCCTCAGGAAGAAGTTTGGAAAGAATTCCTTCCTAATCCTTTTACATAAAAGCAAAGTTAAACAAACAACCTTGAAAAATAATTAGCCTTTACCATTGCTACTACCAAAGAATGTCTACTCAAGGCTCAGGAAGGCCTATCATAGCAAGTAAACCATATTCACATGTTTTTGTTTGTTTGTGGTTTTGGGGATCAAACTCAAAACCCAATTGATTCTTTTTTAAGACTGGTTTTCAAGCTAACTGCAAGCTACAGAATCAATATTGTAAAGGACTAGCATAAGGATAAACATATAGACCAATGGAATGGAATAGAAATGAGAGTCCAAAAATCAGCCCTCATATTTATGATCAAATGACACACAATAAAGGTACCAAGACAATTCACTGGAGGGAAATAGTTTTTTCAACAAATGGTGTTTGTCCATCAACTGACAAACAGATAAAGAAAATACAGTATATCCATAAAATGGAAGATATTGCATAATGAAAAGTAAAAGTGCTGATATATACCATATCATATGGATCTTAAAACAATATGCTAGTTTAAAAAAAATAGCCACAAAGACCACATTTTGGAAAATTCTATTTATCTAAAATGTCTAGAACAGGCCAATGCATAAAGACACAAAATAGATTAGTGGTTACTCAAGGCCTGGAATAGGTGGAGGGGAATATTTAGGGGAAAATGCTAATGTGCATGATGTTTGTTGGATGATGAAATTTCCTTAAACTGTGGTAATGAGCTGCAGGACTATGTAAATACAAAAACCCAATTATACATTTTAAATGGACAAATTGAATAGTATGCAAATTATATTTCAGTATATCTATTAAAATAAAATAAGGGGGATTGGAGTTATAGCTCAGTAGTAGAGGACTTGCCTAGCATGTGTGAAGTACTGGGTTTGAATCTCAGTGCCAAATATAAAAAAATAATTAAATAAAGGCCCATCAATAACTAAAAAAATATTTAAAAAAAGAAAATAAGGATGGCTAGAATGGAACTCATTAAGGGGAGCTGAGTTTTCACCCTTAAAGCAAGGGTTTGAATGAAAATGATTCTTAATGTGAAAAGGTACTGTTGTCTTTGGATGGAAAGCAGAGGAAAGAAGAGAGTAAGTTAGACAATAAAATTTTGTAACTAAGTAAAAAGAATTAAAAACTAAGAGGTACATAGCAGACCCAAAAGGGTCTACAAAGAAACTATTAGAGCTAATAAATGAATTCAGCAAAGTGGCAGGATATAAAATCAACACGCATAAATCAAAGGCATTCCTGTATATCAGCGACAAATCCTCTGAAATGGAAATGAGGACAACCACTCCATTCACAATATCTTCAAAAAAAAATAAAATACTTGGGAATCAACCTAACAAAAGAGGTGAAAGACTTATACAATGAAAACTACAGAACCCTAAAGAGAGAAATAGAAGAAGATCTTAGAAGATGGAAAAATATTCCCTGTTCATGGATAGGCAGAACTAACATCATCAAAATGGCGATATTACCAAAAGTTCTCTATAGGTTTAATGCAATGCCAATCAAAATCCCAACGGCATTTCTTGTAGAAATAGAGAAAGCAATCATGAAATTCATATGGAAAAATAAAAGACCCAGAATAGCAAAAACAATGCTAAGCAGGAAGTGAGAATCAGGCGGTATAGCGATACCAGACTTCAAACTATACTACAGAGCAATAGTAACAAAAACAGCATGGTACTGGTACCAAAACAGGTGGGTGGACCAATGGTACAGAATAGAGGACACAGAAACCAATCCACAAAACTACAACTATCTTATATTTGATAAAGGGGCTAAAAGCATGCAATGGAGGAAGGATAGCATCTTCAACAAATGGTGCTGGGAAAACTGGAAATCCATATGCAACAAAATGAAACTGAATCCCTTTTTCTCGCCATGCACAAAAGTTAATTCAAAATGGATCAAGGAGCTTGATATCAAATCAGAGACACGCCGTCTGATAGAAGAAAAAGTTGGCTACGATCTACAGTCGGTGGGGTCGGGCTCCAAATTCCTCAATAGGACACCCATAGCACAAAAGTTAATAACTAGAATCAACAAATGGGACTTACTCAAACTAAAAAGTTTTTTCTCAGCAAAAGAAACAATAAGAGAGGTAAATAGGGAGCCTACACCCTGGGAACAAATCTTTACTCCTCACACTTCAGATAGAGCCCTAATATCCAGAGTATACAAAGAACTCAAAAAATTAGACAATAAGAAAACAAACAACCCAATCAACAAATGGGCCAAGGACCTGAACAGACACTTCTCAGAGGAGGACATACAGTCAATCAACAAGTACATGAAAAAATGCTCACCATCTCTAGCTGTCAGAGAAATGCAAATCAAAACCACCCTAAGATACCATCTCACTCCAGTAAGATTGGCAGCCATTATGAAGTCAAACAACAAGTGCTGGCGAGGATGTGGGGAAAAGGGTACCCTTGTACATTGCTGGTGGGACTGCAAATTGGTGCAGCCAATTTGGAAAGCAGTATGGAGATTTCTTGGAAAGCTGGGAATGGAGCCACCATTTGACCCAGCTATTCCCCTTCTCGGTCTATTCCCTAAAGACCTAAAAAGAGCATGCTACAGGGACACTGCTACATCGATGTTCATAGCAGCTCAATTCACAATAGCAAGACTGTGGAACCAACCTAGATGCCCTTCAATAGACGAATGGATAAAAAAAAATGTGGCATTTATACACAATGGAGTATTACTCTGCATTAAAAAATGACAAAATCATAGAATTTGCAGGGAAATGGATGGCATTAGAGCAGATTATGCTAAGTGAAGCTAGCCAATCCCTAAAAAACAAATGCCAAATGTCTTCTTTGATATAAGGAGAGTAACTAAGAACAGAGTAGGGACGAAGAGCATGAGAAGAAGATTAACATTAAACAGGGATGAGAGGTGGGAGGGAAAGGGAGAGAGAAGGGAAATTGCATGGAAATGGAAGGAGACCCTCAGGGTTATACAAAAGTACATACAAGAGGAAGTGAGGGGAAAGGGAAAAATAATACAAGGGGGAGAAATGAATGACAGTAGAGGGGGTAGAGAGAGAAGAGGGGAGGGGAGGGGAGGGAGGGGTGGGGGGATAGTAGAGGATAGGAAAGGCAGCAGAACACCACTAGTATGGCAATATGTAAATCAATGGATGTGTAACTGAAGTAATTCTGCAATCTGTATATGGGGTAAAAATGGGAGTTCATAACCCACTTGAATCAAAGTGTGAAATATGATATATCAAGAAATTTGTAATGTTTTGAACAACCAACAATAAAAAATTAAAAAAAAAAATAAAGTTATATTTTAAAGTGTAAAAAAAAAAAAACTAAGAGGTACATAGTTTTTTAAGAGCTGAGTCTTGAAAAATACCTAAAACATATAAGTTTGCAGATATGTTAGATGAGCCAGAAGGAAAGATAAAGAAAATGTAACATCATTTGAGTTTTAACTTTTACACATTAAAGCTCTATAGTAACAAATAATCTTAAGCTATACCCAACATGACCTAATTTCTAGAAAACTGGGTTCAAAAAACAAAAACACTTTTTAGTCATTAGACTTACCACTCGGCTGAAGTACTCGTCTAAAACTTCCACAAAATTGTGGATGAATTCATAAATAGCCATCTCATTCTGAAATAAAAGACGAATATGCAATGAATTTTAGCATGGCCCTCAAGCAAATCAGACACAGAAATGGCCGGTCAGTTGGTCAGTTCCCAGGTTTTAGAGCATGTGACCAAGGGAACAAATGTGAGCAAAGTAACTTTCCATTGACCAATATTCAGAATAGTTCTACTTCTCCCTTATTTAAAAGATGCTTATTAATGAAAGAAATGGAGAAGACCTTAACCTCTAAGATTTCTTTGTGGTCAATGTTGAATCTGACCCAACTGAAACTTCAGATCCCAGTGTCAAGGCTTTGTGCTCTACTTCCTGACTTCATCATCTACTGGCTCAAGCATTTTCCAGATTCTTTGCACCATCATTTTTCTGTCTGTGAAGATGGGGAAACCACTCAAAGTGCCTTATGGATAAAAGCAATCAACTGAGATTTCAGAACATTTTATATTTGAAATACCTGGAACTGGGATGAACACTCCTGAAGAGGAACTAACTTTAGGAGATATAAACATAGGACAATCATATAGTTTGCTCTGATTTTTGATATGTAAGCTCATGTTCAGTGTCATAACTGATTGGCCTCTGTTTGTCTGAGCTACCCCACTATCAGACAGAACAAGAGCAGGACACTGGACTTGGTTAGGATAAAGGAAGACACTAGCTAGTGTGGTGGCATATACCTATAATCCCAACTATTTGAGCCCTCAAATTTGACACCAGCCTGGGAAACACAGTGAGAAATTGCCTCAAAAAAAAAAAAAAAAAAAAAAGTAAAAAAAAAAGCAGAACAGAAAAACTGGAAGGCATCTGGGATGTGGCTCAGTGATAGAGTATTTGCCTAGCATATGTGAGGCCGTGGGTTCAATTCCCAGTGCTGCAAACAAACAAACAAACAAAAACCAAACAAAACCCAGAAGGGCACTCTGGGGTTTTAATTTTCTCCATTTTATAAGCTGCTCATGTAATCCAAACAAACATTCTACATATATCTCTTCCATAGAACTTTCCCACCTTGATAGAAACCAAGATCCTAGAGAAGTGCTGTGATGCGTGCCTATAATCCCAACTACTGGGAGGCTGGAGGATTGTACATTCAAGTTCAAGGATTGCAACTTAGTTAGACCCTGTTTCAAAAAAAAAAAAAAAAAATGTAGGGGCGGGTTTGGGGGATAGGATCCAGCACTACAAAAAGAATTCTAAGAAAAAAAAAGAAACCAAATACATTCTGGAAAAGAGTCATAACAATTCTTAGGCCAGTAGTAAGAAAATGTCAACATAGGGAGGAATAAAGATCAGACTGTTATCTCTAAGTATCTTGTATTTTCCAAATACTCTTAGTATCTTACCTCAGTGTCATTAACTCCAACCACAATGAAGAGAGCTGCATATTGCCGATATATCAGCTTAAAATCCTTATATTCAATAAAAGAGCACTAGATGAAACACAATTAGATATTAGTACCTTTGGTCGACAGAGACTTCTCCAAAATGGCATGCATAATTTCTAGGTTGAGTATCTGCCAACACACTCCAAGAAATACATAACATTCTCATAACATTCAGGGGACTACTTGGAAGCATCTCTAGGGGGAGTTGGAGAAACAGTCTGGGAAAAAAAGTGAGTGATCACATGGGTTCTCACATGTACTCCTCATTCCTTTACTTGGCTATGTGGAAATCAGCAGACAAAGCTAATGAATAACCAGCATTTTAAATTGCCTTCATTGTGAAAAGATTTTCTTTTTATGCAATTTATTTGAAAAAAACTGAAAAACATTTTTTTTCAAAGGCTCTTAGGAGTTTCTAATATTAAAAAAAGTATCAAGTATCAAAAAGTATCAAGAACTTTTGTGGGTAAAATAATAACTATGTTGATATTAGAATATTTTGTAACCTCGTTATGCCAAAAGCCTAGCAGCTACTAGGTTTTTGTTTTTGGTTTGTTTTTTGGATACTGGGTCTCTAACCCTGGGGTTCTTTACCACTGAGTCACATCCGAAGCCCTTCTTATTTTTTATTTTGAGACAGGGTCTCCCTAAGTTGCTGAACCTGGCCTTGAACTCACAATTCTCCTATCTCAGCCTCCCAAATTGCTGGGATGTACCACTGTGCCCAGCATAGTGGGTTCTTTTTAAAATCTAAAATAATAGTATATTTCAAAAATACCTAAGAGTATATATATTTAGTCCAAAGCCTATATTTCAAAGGGTTAACTATGAGTGTAAATGATGTTTGAAATTGTGGAGTGCCTGCATTCTGCAGAAATATTGAAACAGGAATGCTTCTAAATGTGTTTACTTAAAGCATGTGGCTATCAACAGCCCTGTAACAGTTGTTTCCATCTGACACCATAAACCAGTGTGCCATAGAAGGCCAAAGTAGTAATTCAAAGAGGAACTCTGAGATGTTTCAATTGGAAAATCAATTTAGAAGCCAAGGGAAACACATTTGCAACATGTAATGTCTGAGCACTGATTAGCTTAACATTTTATGGCTTAGTAGTGGTTTCTACAGGCAGTCTTTCTATATATGCAATGAAATGGAGAATGAAGAAAATTAATGAATGATTAATTATCATTTATAATGATAAGCTTTCTGATTTTGCCTCAGTTGTTGAGTGTTTTCCTATAGATTTGACATTTAGGACCTGGATTTAATAATTCTCTGAAGTTCTCTGTGAAAATAGACTCAGTTTTAAAAATTCCTTTTCATGGGCTAGGATGTAGCTTAGTGTGTGCTTAGCATGCACAAAGCTCTGGGTTCAAGCCCCAGAATCCCTATCTCCAATTCCTATTTGTTATTCTAATACTTTTATTTAATCACCAAATTTTGGCAGGATAGATAGATTTGCTATTTCACATGAATTTTTAACTTCTATTCCCCCATCTACATAATAAAATAGTTAAGAGCAAGTTTATTTTGCCTTTAAATCATTGGTGATGTATTTATAAGAAAGATAAGCAGATAAAAATTGTCCTCTCCACAGGAATCATATTATTATTCTCCAGTATAAAATAGATTTTGAATAGTCACCTCCATGTCAGCCACCTGACCTTCATTTTTTGGCTTCAGAAAGCCACCTGCTATAGGCACTCCTAACAGTTCCAAGGACTGAATTTATATGAACAAAAGAAAGATTATATGTACTAGCAGGAGTAAATTTAGCTGCCACTTTCATGGTGAACTGAGACAAATATGCTAACCTAAATAACAACCCAAGACTTTTCCTGTTTTTTCTTGTATTTATTCTCTTAAGGAGATATAAAGAGAGCTATGCTTCCTTTCGTTTTCATTGTATTTCATTCCTTGTTTTCCCTAATAGCTGTTGAAGGAATACAGTCCAGAGAAAATGATGGCCCTTGAGACTAAGTAATAACAGATCTGTCAAGGCTGAGTTGACTGCAGAGATAAAAGAGAGCTTCAGAAACTTACCTGTTCATTGGATCGAGAGAGACAACTCTTTATGACTTCTGTTTCCAGAAGTGTTCGCTTATTAATCTCCACATGCTCATAGTACTTAGAAAGTCGGGTCTGGCCTTGTTTATTCACCATAAGGAAAAATTTTATCATTTTTTTCCTGGCCAGTGTTTTTCCAAATACAGTTTAAAAGTTATAGCAAGGGATGGCTGTCATTGGAACCTGGAGAATAGAAAAATAACAGAAAGATAAGATTAAATTTCTCAATCATATTGTCTGTTCTATAGATGAACCAGAAGTAAATAAAATATCATTTGATAATATTGGTCTTCACTCCTACAAACTGAATAAGGTTTTAATTAATAATAACCAAACAAATTTTCATTAGTTATCTTCTGAATCACTTTTCAGCATCCAAATACCGCTACTCATATTCACTCAAGTTATTCATCTGTTTTGCTGGACACCAACTTTGTGTTAAGTATCAGAAGAATAGGGAGATGAAGAGGTGATGTTTTTGATCTTCCAACTTTTATACTAACTAAAGGTGCTAAACAGATAAGTAAATATCAGTAATGCAAAGTGATGAATTATAACTGGGGCCAGTGCATTTGCTTAGGAGCACAGAAGGAAGGAGCAAGGAATGGTGCAAGAGAGTCAAGAAGGACTTCCCAGAGAGGGGAAATTTGAGCAACTTCTTGAAGGATGATCTAGAAGGAGAGGCTTTAGGTTGAGAAAAAAGCTCTGGAAAGTTCACTGGTTGCAGTTCAGAGGGCAACAAGAAAGGTCTCAGAAAATTAAGCTGCTCATATATGTTAAAAAGGAGGGAAAGATCACTATAGGGCTTGGTCACCCCAATGAATATTTACATCTATCTTAACAATGCTGGTTGGAAGATGACTGTGAAGAGTCAGTCTGAAAAAGACTCAACTGTTAGAACACCAGGTAGAGGATGACTTAACAGGGCTTGATCTACTTTACGGCTTTTTTAAGTATAAAACATTAAATATTTGTTTTGATGAGACATCCATATCTGTTTGAAAGTGAAGTTAATAATCCATAGTAAACTAAGCTCTACTGAAATAAGCAGATTGCATGGAAGAATTGTACTTTTGGCAAATGTATGGTTATAGAACTAATCAGAATCCTAGATAAGTACAGAGCCTGGGACTTAGCTATTTTGTCCAGTGTACAACTAACTAGCCCTTTCTATTACTGATTACTGAGAAAGGGTTAGTTAGTTGTACACTGGACAAAATAGCTAAGTCAAGCCCAACACCAGTGTTTTTCTTTAGGGTTTTTGATTGCTTGAAATAAGAAGAATGTGTCACCTAAAAGCTTAGACTACAATAAGACAAACTGGGGCTAGGGATATAGTTCAGTTGGTAGAGTGCTTGCCTTGCATGCACAAGGTTCTGGGTTCAATCCCCAGCACCATCAAAAAAAAAAAAAAAAAAAAAAAAAAGACAGACCTGGCTCTGAGATCATAGCTTTGCCACATACCTGCCATGCCATGTGACTCCAAGTTGCTAGGCCTTTCTGAACCCAGTTAGATGACTATGTGTGAGGTGTAAGAATGAGAGGAGATCACATGCATTCACCAAAAGATCTAAATGGCCTGGTATTTCCGTGGTGCAACTAGAAACAACATTATGGGATAATACTCATCCTAAATTTTCTATTGTTATTTTTTACCCTCCCAGCTCCTCTCCTTTTTTCAGAGGAGGTACTGGGTATTAAACCCAGGACCTTGTACATCCTAGGCAAACACCCTATACCACTGAGCTATACCTCCACTCTAACATCTTTTATTTCCTAAACCCTATCAGACAGGTGGTTACTCACAATTCCAAACACTATGCTATAAAGAGCCAGGCCCCACATGGCAAAGCCTGGGGTTGCAAGCATTCATTCACTGTGCAGAACAGGATGTTATCTAGACCAGCTCAGCCAGGGATATGACAGCTGGGCTGTGGGGGAGGCTTGTGGTCATTCACTCCCTTTTCCAGGAAGATAAGCTCATTACACTGTGGGCAGGATTGCGACAGTCTTCATGGTGTTTGATCATTTGGTATTAAGTGTCACTTTTATTCTCCTTACAAATTATTGCTAGTACATTATAGTAGGTGACTAGGAAGCTAAAATTATGATTCACTCCTTCTTTCTTTTTTTCTTTTCTTAGACTTTTTTTTTTTTTTTTTGGTGTGTGGTGCTGAGGATTGAACTCTGGGGCCTCCTTGTACATGCGAGGCAAGCACTCTACCAACTGAGCTATATACCCAATCCCTTTTCTTTCTTTTATTCCTATTTAGCAAAGTTGTTTTAAAACCAACTTTATGATAGTTAAAAATTATAATCATATATTTAGATTTCAACTGCCAGATTAAAAAAAACAAAACAAAAACTCTGTAAGATACTCATCGACAAACCTTGGCTTTCAATGCCCTGGTCGCATTAAATGGTAAAATGAGTTGTAAAATGATCCCAATGAGATGTTACACCAAGGGATCAAATTGGTTTCCACCTTACAAGACCAGCATTCCTTCTCACTGACCTTAAGAGCAAGGACAACAAACAAGGACATGTTAGTTCATACTCATTAGGATGCAAACTTTCAATAGAACATCTAAAGGCACCTAAAGACTTCAATACATCTTTGTTTCTCTGCAAGCTCATAAACAATTACACAATTTACAATTATAGGATAACCTGGTGGTAATAAAGTGGAGAAGCACAATTGTATTTCTACTCTAAAATATATAATGCCAAAACAATGTGGAGACTTAAGAAAGAAATACATGTTTGAGAACTGGAGATGAATGCTGTAAACACCTATTCTGGTTAGTAATCATCAGGAAGGAGGGATATCAAATAATTATGAAACTGAAGTTAAGACAATAAGAAGGAATATGCTCAAATATGGGGAGTGGTCAGGGAGCAGGTATGAACTTCCTGTTTAGAAATTCGTTGCATTCAGTAATATACAAGGCCAGGGAAGACATTCTAATCACCAGAAAGTTAGGAGATTGTAGACTCAAAAGCTTTTGTGAATGTATATGAAAAACAAGGAAGAATAAATAAAGAAAAAGGCATTAGGGAAAGTACAATATAAAGGATGCTAGGATGCCCTAGCAGAGAATCTAGATGAAAGAAAGGTAAATCAAACAAGAACTTTTCTTGGTTTGGCATGAACATGCTTTGAAAGCCAAGATGAGAGAGACTGGTAGATTCATAGCAGAACACGTCCATTTCCCAGGATCCTACATGGCATAAACTTAATACTCAGAGAAAAGACAGAAGTACATATTAAACTGGGCAGTTTTCATATTTGTGATGGTGTCTTTCTGGGAGTTAGAACCGGAAGTCTTTACAGACTGTCGTCTAAAGATGGCAAATAGGTTTTGACCTGGGTGCTGACTAACTACAATGAACTGCCCTGAGAGGATTCTGGAGCTGCACGGAAGTTCAAAACAAAGGATGCTATGAATGATTACTGTCGATTGTGAGTTAGGAAATAGGGAGTGACAACATATGCACCTTATATTTGTCATTCCTGATGTGTACTCCCTTCATTTTGCAGATGTAGAATGAAATCCTGAATTCTGATCTCCTGACTCATAATGCTGTCTTTAATTTATCACATTGCCTTTTTGCCTCACTCAGTGTATTACTGGCATGAAACCATCATTTACATTTAATAATGTTGGTATTCTCTTTTCTAATGCTTCTGCACAATAAATCTGGAAAATACCAAATAAATCACCGCATGAAAGAATAGAACATGTTGGGTGCAGTGGTGCACACCTGTAATCCCAGCTCAGGAGGCTGAAGATAGTGAGTTCAAAGCCAGCCTCAGCAAAAGTGAGGTGCAGAGCAACTCAGTGAGACCCCGTCTCTAAATAAAATACAAAATAGGGCTGGGGATGTGACCCTGAGTTTAATCCCTGGTACCTTCCTTCCAAAAAAGAGTAGAACATGTAGCTTCTAGAAATAAAAGTGATTTAAAAAAAAAAAAAAATATATATATATATATATATATATATATATATATATATAGTTGTAGATGGACAGTACCTTTTATTTATTTTTTGTTTAAACATTTTAATTTTAGTTGTAGATGGACATAATATCTTAAATTTATTTATTTATTATTTATGTGGAGCTAAGGATTGAACCCAGTGCCTCACACATGCTAGGAAAGCACTCTACAACTAAGCCCCAGCCCCAGTTCCCCTTTATTTTATTTTTATGTGGTGCTGAGAATTGAATCCAGTGCCTCCCATATGCTAGGCAAGTACACTACCACTGGGCTACAACCTTGGCCCCAAGATACTTAATTATTTTGAGCTCAGTCTCCTGTACAATGTGAATAATAATAGTACTTACCCACTAGGTTGCTGTGAGGATTAAATGAGTTAGGATATGTAACATTCTCAGAATAGAGCTCAACAGGTGGCAGGCAGCAAGTGCTAAAGGGCCAACATCATAAATAACATATCACTTTCCTTGGTGAATCCTTTCCTGCCTATTCCAGTCTCCTTTCCATCTACAAAAAGCTAATTATCCTGTCTATAATGTATGTGATTATTATTTGATTACCTGTTGAAGTCCTCTATAAGAACTGTGATTCAGACTTTTTTGAGGGGTACTGTGGATTTAACCTAGGGGCACTTAACCACTGAGCCATATCCCCAGCCCTTTTTATTTAGAGACAGGATCTTGCTGAGTTGCTTAGGGTCTTGCTAAATTTCTAAGGTTGGCTTTGAACTTGTGATCCTCCTGCCTCAGCCTCTGGAGCTGCTGGGATTACAGGAGTATGCCACCATGCCTATGTGAAACTTTTTTATTATGACTGTGACAGAGATATTTTACATTGTGATCCACTGTACAGATATGTATAAATCTGAAACAAAAGTTCACAAACACTACTTACCCATACTACTTATATTGCACTCTGATTTTTCAAAATGACATTTCATTTTGTAAAAATACATAGTTGTGAGGGATTTTTGTTACACAGATGTATGGATTGCCAGAATTCAGCAAATATAAAGACTAATGTAATTCATTATAAGTAAATTTTATACCAGAAGAAAACCAGCTACAACATTTTTTTTTTCATTTCCAGTATACTGGGGATTAAACCCAGGGGTGCTCTACCACTAAGCAACATTCCCAGTCCATTTTTAAATTTTTTATTTATTTTGAGTCAGCGTCTCATTAAGTTGCTAGGCTGGCCTCAAACTTGTGATCCTCCTTCTTCAGTTTCCTCAGTAGCTGAGATTACAAACCTGAGTTACCATGCCTAGCTATATGAATAGTTCTTGAAAAACATTTAGCATGCTGACTTTTCATTTCTTCCCTTTATGTATATTAAATTATAAAAGAGTTGACAAGGTTATAGGGAATCATATCAACATTTATATGTCTAGATTTTTAGTGGTGTTTTAAATTGTTATAATTTTCTGCAGTATGATCTGGTCAATTGCAACATTAAAGGAACCTTGAAAATGATTCTTTTAACTCTAGCATTCCAGTCTTAAGAATTTATCCTAAGGTGTAATTAAAAATCTACATGCACAAAAATGTTCATAACACTGTAACAGTGAAACACGGGACAATCCCAGATATTGCAAGATGAGATAACAATCCAGAATTGTTATGTATCAAAATTAACACCAGCGTGATGTCTTTTATTAAAATTAAGAGCAAGAAGGGGCTGGGGTTGTAGCTCAGTGGTATAGCACTTGCCTAGCATGTGTGAAGCAGTGGGTTTGATTCTCAGCATCATATATAAATAAATAAAATAAAGGTCCATTGATAACTTAAAAAAAAATAAAAACTGGAAAATGAAAATAAACAGACTATGCAGAAGAATGGGAAAATGTATATAAAACAATGTTAAGTCACAAAATCAGAATACCAATTCTACATTCATATAGATTACAACTATGTAAAGGAAACATCTAAATAGGTAAAGATTAAAAATAGACCTGACTGATTCATCTTGAAAATATTTGCTAATTGAAAGAAGCCAGTCATAAAGGATGACATATTGTATAACTCCATTACACGAAATATCTAAAGGAGGCAAATCTAAAGAGACAGCCAAGAAGATTCGGGGGGCATAGGGTTCAGAAAGTTATGTCTAAGACGTAAGGGATGGTAAGAATAGTTCCATAAACAGTGAGTATAGGAAAAAGCCATTGAATTGTATACATTGAATGAACTTTACAGTTTGTGAATTATATCTCAAAAGAGCTGTAGGCCAATGGAACAATCTGGAAGAGCTCCCAACAGTCAAAGATAAGAATAATTTGAACAACACAATGTTGGATTATAACCCAAAGTATAAAATAAATATACATAATCGTATATGGACATAAATACATGATAGAATAAATAAACAAGGACAGAAGACTCCCAAATACTGTAGAATAAAACAGACTCCCAAATACTGTAGAATAAAAAAGACTCCCAAATACTGTCCTAATGTGACTCAACTCCCCAGTTCAGAAAGAGAAATAATAGTAGACAACATTCATACAATGCTTGCTTAGGTGCCAGGTGCTGCTTGAACACTTTGCCCACATTTATATAATCCTCCTAAGAGCCCTGCAAGTTAGAGATGGTTTTTATCTCCAAAAACTTTATGGATGTGAAAATATACTTGCCAAAGGTCACTATGTAAAATGGTAGAGGAAGGATCCAATTTCAATTAGTCTGTGCTCCCACACTCAATGCTCATTACTTCTGGATTTTCCTCAGGACTAGTAATTCAGTGATATCTGTACAAGGACCATGGAGGCACAATTTCATTCCCAATTCACTAGTATAAATCTAACTCTGGCCAGTTATACTCTGTGTAAAAGCTTTTATTGCATGTTTTGGTGTTTCAGTCTTGACCCTGGAGCTTAACACAAAAGGCACAATTCTAATAGATTATTTACTTTTTGTTGATATCAACATGGATCCTACAATGCTTAAGAAATGGCTCAATTAAATAATTATGAAAATTTAGTAAAGGTCAAACTGCTATGTTCTCTACATTTGTTATTATATCTAATGCTTCCAAAATCCCTAAGTCTGACTTGCTCTTCATAGAGTTGAGCTAATCTTCCTACTTCCAAAAAGTAAAACATACTAGGCAAATGCTCACCAAGGCAAGTTTTCAGACTCATATCTGAACTTAGTACTATTCTGGTTCAGATCAGATTTCAGGGTAGAGCACAGCCTTTGATGGCCTCCTTGACTGCCCTTTGCCCAGAAGCACTTTTTTTTAGGGGGAGGGAGGTACCAGAGATTGAACTCAGGAGCACTCAACCACTGAGCCACATTCCCAGCCCAATTTTTTTATTTCATTAGAGACAGGTCTCACTGAGTTACTTAGCACCTCGCGGTTGTTGAGGCTGGGTTTGAACTTGTGATCCTCCTGTCTCAGCCTCCTGAGCTGCTGGGATTACAGGCATGCACCACTGCACCCAGCCAGAAGCAAAAGAAAATATGTACAGTCAATAAAACCAAGAGAAGAAACATCCTGGGTAAAGCACTCTAGAGTACCAATGGGTAGGAAAAACTAAGGTAGCACTAAGAAATAGGGCAATAAGAGGAGAGGGAGAGGAAGAAGAAGAGGAGGAAAGAGTGCTTAAGAAGAGCAGGGACTGGCAGAAGTGGAGGTTAGAAAATGAGGATTTGTGAGGGTCAAAAATGCCAAGAAACCCAGAAACAACAATCACTACCCAAGGGAAAGAGTTCTGCTGGGAGTGAATGTGACTATAAGAACAATAGGGGGACTTGGGAAGAGGCCCAGAGTCCCTTTTGCAATGAGTTCAAGGGAAGGTACCATTAAGGAACCTAAAGCTCTCAGAAACCCCTGGTGGATACTTGATGGCAGAAAGGCAGATCCTCCACTGAAGAGAGCTAGTTAAAATAAGGGAAACAACAAAAAGCAATAGGAGTTATTTTAAAATGTCCCTAACAAATTTTTCAATCTTTTTTTGTAGAATATTGTCATGTATCTTAGGTTGGCCCATTGATAGAAAGAAAATTAAAAGTTACCATCATTTAAAAACACGTTATTGTAAAAAATGTTTGTTGTTGTTGTTGTTGTTAAATTTTACCAAAACATTCTCCAGAGGCTGAGAGTATGGCTCAGTGGCAGAGCATGTACCTAACATGCATAAGACCCTGGGTTCCAACCCTAGCACCAGAATAAAACAAAACAAAACAAAACAAAAACAACAACAACAAAACATTCTCCAAAGAGAACACTGTCTTTAACATAGAATTCCCAGGCCATATATCCATGTCTGGTATCATTCTTTTGAACATTCTCCCCTGCTGCTACAATGGGAGACAAACCATATTTCCATCCAAGCTTGTTGAAAAGTTTTGTCAGTTTCCCACTCAGTCACATTTTCCAGTCATTTTGTTAACATGTTTATAGACCTGGTTATTCATTCTTAGTCAATGTCCAGGAAAGACTTGGATCAAGACAATCTTTTTTTTTTTTTTTTTCCTTTTCAATTTTGACATCTCTATGAATTAGGTATTATACAATATTATCACAGCCTACTTTTTTTCTGCCTCATATTACCCAGGAGACAATTCCGGAATGAACTTGGACTAGAATTTGATATAGCATCCTGAGTTTCTTAAAGATTTTGATGTCTAGACTTTTCTATAGTCTTTGAAGGTTCTTTCCTTTTTCTTTTGCATACAAGATATTATTTGAATGAATCGAGTGTTCTACAAGTATTGCTGTAATTTTCTTAGCCACAGGCAATTACTACAATGAGAAGGAGCTATCTGATCTCATTTGGTATGTTAAACCTTGGTGCTGCTGTCGCAGATTCCTTCTTTTGTGTTTGGTATGTCACTTAGTTTGTACCTTTGGTTTTGAACACATCAGTCTACTCCTCTGGGCTGTAATATTTGTTCTCTGTTTATAAATGTAAGCACAGTGTCATCACTGAATTACTCTGAAATGACTTAAACTACGTAAAAATGATTTCAAACATGCAAATAACTTGGGAACCAGAGACAGCAATATTGAACCAATCAATAAGATAGTGGGAACCAATTTAGTGAAGGGAGACTTTATTTCTTGTTTCCCAATACACATTCACACTCACTAAGTGGGAACCACTTTCTGCCCTACTAAGGACTTGGCTAAAGTGACCAAGGATTCTTTATCTCAGTTTTCTCTTTCCACCGTGGAGCTAAAAATATTTGTCAAAACCTTTGCAGATGATGCAAACCCTATGTCTAAATTAGTGTTTATGAACCAGTTTGAATTTTTTTGTAGAAGGAGGCCAGGTATGTGCTCAGGAAGATATAAAACTATATATTTAGGTGAGTAATTACAAGAAGCTATTCAATTCTCAGAGGCAGAGTCAAAACTCTGTGTATATAAGATAGTGGAATATTTCGTAATAAGACATCTTAGTGTTTTCTATTCCTGACTTATTTAAAAGTCTGGAGTTCCTGGGCTGGGATTGTGGCTCAGTGGTGACACGCTTACCTAGCATGCATGAGGTACTAGGTTCGATTCTCAGCATCACATATAAATAAGTAAAATAAAGGTCCATCAACAACTAAAAAATATTTTTTAAAAAAACCACTGTTAAAAAAAAAGTCTGGAGTTCCTTATCATTCTTTGTTGACATAATATATGTAAATAAAATAAGATAAGTCCCTCTGGTCAAAATTAAAAAAAAAAAAAGTAAAAACACACAGGTACTAAAGATTAGCAATGGGAAAAGGGGAAAAAAACACTCTAAAATTCTAAACTTATCAAAGATATAAAGATACTTTCCGAAAGAATCTATGGGCAGGGAAAGAGAGATGAACAGGACTAAAAGAACAAATAGGAAATTTCAAAGGTGAGACAGAAGAGAGGAAATGACTCAGCTACAGATTAAGTCGGGAATTCCAGTTGGGTGAGGTAAATGATAATGTGGCCTGGGAAAGTTCTTTACCTACAGAGGACAAAATTCTAGAAACTCACTGCAGTGTTCTAATGATTGAAGTGGTCGAGCACAGCAATTGGGGAGGATGAGACAGGAGGATCACAACTGAAAGAAGCAAGAATTTATTGAATACTCATATGTGCAGTTCTAGCTTTCATAGTTGTTTGGTACATTACTGACCAGTACACACATGATTTAAATAGTGTAATAAGTAAGCTAGTCCCTGATTTATATCAACACACAAAAGAGATATTGGAATTTTGATCTTTTCTCAGGCTAGTTATATTTGGTGACACTCTACTGTATACTGGTTTGCTAAACTATGATGTTCAGTAGATTAGGTGTATCATCTCAATTTATGAGGGGTTTATGGGGAAGTAACCCTTTGTAAGGGGAGGAGCATCTTTATGTATATGAATACTATTAATAAAGAACAAAATATGGTCTGTGAGCAATTGGAAGACTTCTTGGAGAAAGTAATGCTGGAGTTGAGTTTTGAAGGAGGAATGGAAGAAATGGCATGTGTTAAATCACTGTGGAGTGAAACAGCATTATGCATTTGAGGAACCAAAGCCAGTAGTTTGGCTGCAGAGAATTGGTTGGCATGATGAGTAATGAAAGATTAGGTAGCTGGGACAATTTACAATTTTGAAGGATCTTTATATGCCAGCTTAAATTTGGGCTTTAAATTTGGAGATTACTAAAATATTTTTTTTTTAAAGAGAGAGAGAGAGGAGAGAGAGAGAGAGAGAGAGAGAGAGAGAGAGAGAGAGAGAGAGAGAAATTTTAATATGTATTTTTTAGTTTTCGGCAGACACAACATCTTTTTTGTTTATGTATGTGGTGTTGAGGTTCGAACCCGGGCTGCACGCGTGCCAGGCGAGCGCGCTACCGCTTGAGCCACATCCCCAGCCCTACTAAAATATTTTAAGCAGAAGATGACAAATCATATCTGCCTTTGAGGAAGACCACTTAAGTGGCAGTGATTGTGAGAGGTGGAGGAAGAGTTGAGGTAGGAAGATTTAAAATAAGTCATGAATGGAGAAAGGACTGGATGTGGTAGTTAAATAAAATGTATGAGAATGTCTGCTAGGCTTTAGATATAGTACTACTTAATAAAATATATAACATAAGAGAAACAATTTCCTTTCTTTTTCCTTTCCTAAGATCCCAGTCTTTTCTTGAACAGAAGGTACCCGTGGGAAATTTAAGTGTGCACCTTCCTCTTCTTTTGATGCTATCATCATGTATATCAACCATACCCTCTTGCAAAATGTTTCTTAGTACGTAAGTATTTGGGTATGGAGGCAGCATGTTGTGTATTTCTGAGCTTTTTATGTACTATAGTCCCTTGCCCTCAGCGAGTAAGACTGAATAAGCAGGTGATATGTGGTCACTAATAAATGAAGAATCAGTACTTTAATAATGTGGAGAAATAGTTCTTAATAGTACTGTGACCTAAGACCTCATTTCATATATAAATAATAGCAATTTGCTCTTCATTAAACTTTAGTAACAGTAAAGCAGGCACGATAAAATAAGATGTACTAATTTATCTCTTTCAAATTACATCCTGAGTGGTTATGTATATATTACGTAGTGAATCGCTTCTGCTCCTCTTACCAAACTTCCAAAACACAGCCCATCCCAGATTAGGAAAGAAGAGTAGAGGCAAAGTGGTCGACAGGCAGACGGGTGCACAGAAATGGGACCAAAGCCCAAACGAAGACGAGGAATCAATCACCACGGCTGGAAGGATCTGGGCTGTTTGCCCAAAAAGAACATCTAAGTCTCGGGAACTGACTGGTGCTAAGAAACCTAAGATAGAGCGAGTGACAGGCACAGAAACAGGCCTGACCCTTTGGGACTGCCTGAAACACGCTAGGAATGCAAGAGAAACGTCCGGAATCCAGGATTGGCTGCTGCCAAAGACAAGCTGGGCTTAACCCCAGCTCCAAAGGCAAGCAAAAGGCCGACTCCGTCGGTTGGGAAACGACGCCCTACGGCTGCCCACACGAAGGACACAACCCCGGAGCCAGAGGCCATCCGGCTGCCAAAAAGTCGAAGGGATCCCCAGAATCCATAGCCTAGACGAACACCCGGAGCCGTCTGTGGGCGGGCTTAGGGGCGGGGCCCATACTCCTCCGCCCTCTAACTGCGATCAACTGCGTCCTCAGCGCGCCTGCGTAGGGTGAGGCCGGACTCTATTTGGCTATTAAGCGTGCGGCGGCAGCGGCGTTCTCTACCCGGCATGCTGTGCGGGAGCAGCGGCCCTACGTCTATCCCTTTCCCAACCCTGCCCCTTCTCCCCCCCCCCCGCTGCGGCCCCCCTTTCCCTAAAGTGAGTGAGTGAGACGGGCAGATGGAGGAGGGATTGTAATGGCGGCGGCCGGCAGCTCCCTGCTCTGACCCACGGCAGGCACATAGCAACGACCCCCCCCTCCCCGCCCCTCTCCCGGCCGGCCTCCGCCCCGCCGTCGGCGCGGGGCCACCTTCCACGGCCCTTCCCCCAGCTGTCGGCGTCTAGCCCTGAGCCCCGGCCGGGGCCCCGCACACAATGGACGAGCTTGCCGGAGGCGGTGGTGGCGGCCCGGGAATGACGGCCCCTCCCCGGCAGCAGCAGGGACCTGGGGGGAACCTGAGTCTTTCGCCGGGGGGCAACGGAGCGGCGGGCGGCGGGGGTCCTCCGGCCTCCGAGGGAGCCGGTCCCCCGGCAGGCCCCGAGCTGTCCCGGCCACAGCAGTACACTATTCCGGGGATACTGCACTACATCCAGCACGAGTGGGCTCGGTTCGAGATGGAGCGGGCGCACTGGGAGGTGGAGCGGGCCGAACTGCAGGTACCTTGCTGGGGTCAGTGTGCGGGACGGCTACCATAGAGAGGTTCCCGGCCTGGGGCTGGGGGGGCGGATGTGGGGCAGGGATTCCCTTCAGCCCGAGCCCTCTCCTTGGGAGGCCGAGAGGAACATACCTGTGCGGCTCGGGGAATGATGGTCCTGCGACGGGTCTTCCTAGGGTCCCCCTCCCCCTTTCCCGCTGAAGCTTGTTCTCCAACCCTTACTAGCTACGCGGTACGGGCTTCCTTGGGGCAGCCATTTTGGCTTTTAGTATGGCGTCTGCGGGGGCTCCTCCGGAGGCGGCCTTCCCCGGCCTCTCGGCCTTGGGGCCGAGCTGTTCTTCGTGAGTCCGGCGCCGGGCTGCTGTGTACTGAGTTTGCTCTTGTTTATTCTTCTTGAAATTGAAAACCCGAGGACCTGAACTGCGAAGAACAGTTTATCACCTTTTCCTGGACCACCCCCCCTTTCCCGATTAGGCTTGTCTGTCCCCCTCCCCCGTGACTTGGTACGCAGTTGCCCTTTGACAGTCACGCTTTTTTCTTGGGCTGTTACCATGCACTATAGTTTGCGGCCGACTTGGGAAGTTTTCATTTTCCACCGTCAACTCTTGAGTTCCTACTTATCTGGGGTGCTGCTTTACTCGCTTGGATTTCCTTTAGTTCTTCCTTAGTTGCTGACTTTTCAACACTTTTAACACTGAATTTTTCTTTTTAGAGTAACACCTTCACCAGACTTCCTCCCAATCCCTTTAATTTTTATACAAAGCCAAACAAGACCGTTGTGTTTGTGAAACGATTGAGAAGATAATTAGTATTAGTTTGAAATGACATACTTGTTTCACAGTACCAACTCGTGAAGCAAAGTTAAATGTTCTTAGTACTCTTTAATAATTGAGCCTGACTTGTTCCTCTTAATTTAAATCTTTGATAGGCTGAGATGACCGACTTTTGGAAACTCTTACTAGTTTAGGGCTCAAGTCTTGAGTTTCAAAATTGCTGCATCTTTTTTAAAGGTTTAATTTTTTAAATATTTGTGTTTATTTTTAAATCCCTTCCCGGGTTAAATCTAAACATGCATCTAAATAGTGTTGCACTTTTTCTTCATACATACTTAGGGTGTAAGCATTATTGTTCATTGTCACATATACCTATGATGAATAATTAGGAAGATGTGTTGAAAGAGGAAAGGTTAGATTTATGTAGAAAGGATGTCCTCAAATAAATATGAGTCTCTTCAGTTTGATTTTGATTGAGTTTACAAAGTGGGTGAGGTTAGACTTTAAAAAAAAAAAAAAGTAAAACCACTTACATTTTGACACTTTAAATCAATTCATTGTTTTAGATTTGTGCATTGCTCTACTCTTGGGCTTTAAAAAACGGGCTTTAAAAAATTTTCAAAGGGCTTAAGTAAAAATTGCCTGTGTTTTTTGTAAATTTATGTACAGTCTGCTTTGAAATACTTAGAATTCGTGTAGTTCTGTTGATATACAACTATATGGGACGCTATGCTGCTAACTTTTTTGTGTGAGTAGCGCCATCGTAGTAGTGCATCTATTTTAAAAAGTTGCATTGAGTTTTGGGTCCACTGAATAATAGTTCCGCTAGTTCCTGATACCAATTTTTTTTTTTTTATCTTTGTACTGTTGTACGTAAGTTTTGATTTTTAACAGTTTTCAAGGTAGTAATTGCATTCGTCCTTCATAAGTTTCATTAATGTGAGGAGCTGAGAAATGTCTAAATTACTAAAATCTTTGCATTAATGAAAACTATATTGTCTGCTTTTTCTTATTTTCCCTTCCATTTCTCCTCTCCCTAACAGCATCATAAAAGTTCTTTAAGGAAGATTCCTTTTACTTGCTTGCTTTCAGTTGATGTGTGTGTGTGTGTGTGTGTGTATTTTGTGTATGTGTGGTTCCAGGAATTGAACCCCAGAGGTGCTTACCCACTGAGCCAAATCCCCATCCCATTTTATTTTTTGAGGCAGGAGCTTGCTAAATTACAAATTGCTGAGGCTGGCTTTGAACTTGCCACCCTCCTGCCTCATCCTCCTGAGCCTCTGGGATTACAGGTGTGTGCCATCACACCTGGCTGATCTACTCTGATACAACCATTATAATATTTTTTGATTGTGTTGAAGAAGTATTGATAAAGAGTTTGTAGGTTCTTAATTTTTTTCCCCCAGGGATTTCCTTATTTCATACTGATTCATTGGAATAAAATGTTCATGATTGTGTTTGTGTGTTTTTTTTGTGTGTGTGCTGTATTTCTTAAAATTTTTTTACTGAATTAATAGGGTTTCAGAAAGTTTGGTTGAATATTGAATTTGCGTTAAGTGCCTTCAATTATAATAAGATTGTTTGTGAGGGGCTGGGGTTGTGGCTCAGCGGTAGAGTACTAGCCTAGCATGTGCGAAGCCCTGGGTTCAATCCTCGGCATTACATAAAAATAAATAAATAAAACAAAGGTATTGTGTCCAACTACAAGTAAAAAAATAAATATTTTATTTTTTTGTGAGATGCCTATTTAAAAATTTATGTGTTGAATGTGTGTATAAAATTAATGTGTGAAAATGTATGTGCTGTTTAAGTGAAACATCAGTGGATTAATACTATAAACTTAAACTTACTTTACGAAAACATAGGAATAATGCACCCCCATACCATTGTTACATACTTTTGTGTGTGCACTGGTCATCTACACATGTAATTCTTTGTTTTGGATACAAGATCTGACTCGTTTGCCAGGAAGAAATCGTGGGCTCAAGCAATCCTCCTACCTCACCCTCCCAAGTATTTGGGACTATATGCATGTGCCACAATGCCCAACTCAACATAATTTTTTAAAATTCTTTTTAGATACATGATAGTAGAGTATATCTTGATATATATACACAGTATAACTTATTCTAATTTAGATTCTATTCTTGTGGTTGTACATGATGTGCACTCATATATTCATATACAAGTATAGGAGAGTTATGTCTGATTAATTTTGCTGTCTTTTTCTATTCCCCTCACCTCTCCCTTCCCTTCATTTCCCTTTATCTAATCCAGGGGACTTCTGTTCTTCCCCATCTTCACTCTCCCTTGTGGGTTAGCATCCATGTATCAGAGAGAATATTTGGTCTTTGTTTTTGTTTGGGAATGGCTTATTTCACTTAGCATGGTACTCTCCAGTTCCATCCATTTACTGCAAATGCCATAATTCCATTTTTCTATATGACTGAGTAATATTCAGTTGTGTATATGTACGCATTTTATTTATCCATTCATCTGCTGAAGGGCACCTAGGCTCGTTCCATAGCTTGGCTATTGTGCTTTTATAAATGTTGATGTGGCTGTATCACTGAAGTATGCTGAAGTCCTTTGGACATATGCCGAGGAGTGGGATAACTGGGTCAAATGGTGGTTCCATTCCCAGTTTTCAGAGGAATCTCCAAACTGTTTTTACAGAGTGTTTGTACCAATTTGCAGTCCCACTAGCAATGTATGAGTGAACCTTTTTCTCCAGATCCTCGTCAACATTTACTGTTAACTTGTATTTTTTTTTAATATTTATTTTATTAGTTGGACACAATATCTTTATTTATTTTTATGTGGTGCTGAGGATCGAACCCAGAGCCTGGCATGTGCTAGGCGAGCGCTCTACCGCTGAGCCACAACCCAGTCCTAACTTGTATTCTTGATAATTGCCATTCCGACTGGAGTGAGATGGAATCTCAATGATGTTTTAATTTGCATTTCTCTAATTGCTAGAGATGTTGAACATTTTTTCATATATTTCTTGACCATTTGTATTTCTTCTGTGAAGCGCTCTTTCAGTTCCTTTGCCCATTTATTGCTTGGGTTATTTGGGGTTTTTTAGTGTTAAGTTTTTTTGTATATCCTGGATATTAATGCTCTATCTGAAGTGGCAGGTGATAAAGATTTTCTTCCATTCTGTAGGCTCTCTGTTCACATTAATGATTGTTTCCTTTGCAGTAAAGAATCTTTTTAGTTTGATACCATCTCATTTATTGATTCTTGGTTTTACTTCTTTCTTGGGGAGTACCCGGTTGAACTCAGGGGCACTCAACCATGGAGCCATATCCCAGCCCTATTTTATTTAGAGACAGGGTCTCACTGAGTTGCTTAGCACCTCACTTTTGTTGAGGCTGGCTTTGAACTCTCCATCTTCCTGTTTCAGTATCTCCAGATACTGGGATTAAAGGCCTGTACCACCACAGCTTGATTTTACTTCTTGCACTTTTGGAGTCTTATTGAAGAAGTTGGTTCCTACTTTTGGGCCTACTGTTTTTTTTTTTTTTTTCTTTTTTTCTAGTAGGCACAGAATCTCTTTGTCTAATATCTGCATGTGTGATTCATTTTGAATTTCCAGTTTTCCTCACACCATTTGTTGAAGAGGCGATCTTTTTTCCAATGTATGTTTATGGCACCTTTGTCTAATATAGCTGTATTTATGTGGGTTGGTTGCTATGTCTTCTATTGTTTCGTTGGTCTTCATGTCGTTTTTTTGTCTACACATATTTTTAAAGTATCCATTGAAATTGTTCCATAGTGAACATGAACGGTTAAGGTATACCTTATAGAATCTTATATGCTTTGGAAAAGAGATTAAAGATATTAAAATGAAACTTAAGAATACTGGGCAAGGTGATGCACACCTGTAATCCTAGCATCTCAGGAGGCTGAGGCAGGAGGATTGCAAATTCAAAGCCAGCCTCAGCAACTTCGTGAGACCCTGTCTCAAAAAATAAAAACAGATTGGGATGTGGCTCAGTGGTTAAGTGTCCCTGGGTTCAATCCCTGGGACCAAAAAGCATAAATAAGTAAACTGTAAAATGAAACTTTGCAGTCTACTTCTTTTTTCTGTATAAAGAATATTGGGAAAAGTTTTGTCTTAGAAACTTGGAACAAAATCAATAGATTATGTCTTAAAACTCTGTAATGCCTTCTTACCTTGGACTCCACAAAGGTTTTTTTCAGACAGTGTTTCCCAAACTGG